CTTTTGGCATGAGACGACGTCGTCTTGTATTTTGAATTAACATTGGTAGCAGAGGATGGTTTCCAATTACAAAGTACCACCAAAGCTTGATGAAGCCAGGCCATATGAGTGCTGGAAGAATGAAGTCAATATCTGGAGACGAGTTACGGAGCTGGATAAAAAGAAACAGGCACTCGCGGTGGCGCTGGGACTCGAGGGAAGAGCCAGAGAAACGGCCATGGAGATACCCGTGGACGATTTGGACGACGATGACGGTATGGAAATACTGCTTGCAAAACTTGACGCGGTATTTCAGAGAGAAGAGAAAGACCGCGCTTATGAAGCCTACTCGTGTTTTGACTCCATTACAAAGAACCACAGCGTGTCAATGGCAGACTACATTATAGACTTCGAACAGCGTTATAATCGGATGAAAAGGTACAACATGACGCTGCCTGACGCTGTGCTAGCATTTAAGCTTCTAGATACAGCTTGTCTTGATGAGAAAAGTCGACAGCTTGCACTGACAGCGTGCACGGACTTAACGTTTGCGTCTATGAAGTCTGCACTGAAACGGATTTTCGGAGGAAAAGTAGCCGGAGTTTTCAGCGGAATTCAACTGAACCAAGATCAACTGAACCAAGATGCAATTTTTCTTACTGAGCAAAAAGGTTTCAAATACAAACGAAACAGCGGTGCTTCGTCACGGAGTGGACAGCGACAACCACTACAAGGTACCAACCCACTTGACAAGTTTGGCAAGCGAACAAGATGTGCTATTTGTCAGAGCACTTATCACTGGGCGAAAGACTGTACTCATCGTAATGGTGACCAAGTAAAGCTAACTGAGGATGGCAAAGTGGAGGAGTGTAACATTACTTTGTACACAAAAGCCTCAATGACAGACTCTAAAATCTTCCTGACTGAAGCACTGGGGTCAGCCATCATTGATACTGCATGTACACGAACAGTTTGTGGTCAGAAGTGGCTAGATAGTTACATGGGTAGGCCTCAGCCAAGGCCAAGTAAACAAGTTGGTGCAATCAGAAATCCCCAGCTCCAGACCATTTCGCTTTGGGGATGGTACTGTTGTGTATTCCAGCAGAAAAGTGAAACTTCCAGCCAAGATTGGACAAACGAAATGTGACATTGAAAGTGAAGTAGTTTCTGTTGACATTCCACTATTACTGAGCAAAACGTCTCTCAAGAAAGCAGGGACCGTTCTAGACATGGAGAATGACAGCGTTGTCATGTTCAAGCAGCCTGTTCCCTTAGAGCTCACTAGTTCGGGACACTATTGTGTGGACATTAGAGATGAAAATACCACAGGAAGCTGCAATGAAAATGAAGTTCTCATGGTAACTGCTGATATGTCTACAAAAGAGAAACAGAAAGTCCTTGTGAAGCTTCATAAGCAGTTTGGTCATGCATCTGCAGAGAAGTTATTGAGGCTCATCCAAAGCTCTGGTAATACAGATAGGCAATGTGCAGTTATTCTACAAGAGGTCGTTCGTAACTGTGACATTTGTCAGAGATATTGCAAAACCAAGCCGAGACCTGCTGTTGGTCTACCCCTGGCTTCTGAGTATAATGAGACAGTAGCGATGGATCTGCATGAGCTGGAGCCCAATGTGTGGTACCTTCACATCATCGACCACTTCACACGCTTCAGCGCCGGCAGCATCGTAAAGACAAAGAAAGCTGCAGAGATGGTCAACTCCTTCATTCACACCTGGATAAGTATTCACGGTGCTCCCAAACGGCTCTACACAGACAACGGCGGAGAGTTCAACAACACAGAGATTCGGGACATGGCTGAAAACTTCAACATTGAGGTAAAGACAATGACGGGTTATAGTCCCTGGAGCAACGGACTACTGGAGAGACATAACATGACACTTACAGAAATTCTCCTGAAGGTAAAAAAGGAACGAGGATGCGACTGGCACACTGCGTTAGACTGGGCCCTTATGGCAAAAAACAGTATGCTTAATGTACATGGTTATAGCCCACATCAACTTGTGTTTGGACAAAACCCCAACCTTCCTTCGGTGTTGCTGGACAAGCCACCTGCCCTAGAGGGCACAACTGTAAGTGCAAGAGTAGCTGAACACATATCAGCATTACATGCTTCCAGGAAAGCATTTACTGAGGCAGAGTGTTCAGAAAGGATTAGGAGAGCACTACGCAAGCAACTTAGGCCTACAGATGACAAATATGAGGCAGGAGATAAAGTATACTACAAACGAGTCGACTGTACAGAGTGGAAGGGTCCAGGTGTAGTTATTGGGCAGGATGGAGCTGTTGTATTTGTAAGACATGGGGGGACTCTAGTAAGAGTGCACCAGTCAAGGTTGAGTAAAGTGGATGCACAGAGTGGAAATAAACAAACACCACACACTACTACAGATGATGACACTGACAACAAAGACACAGTTGAAAATGATGACAATGACACACCCGATGGTGAACAGAGTATTAGTGAGGAAGAAGACATCACTACTGACAGAGAAACTAACACTACAGAAAACATGTCTGTCACACAAACTGTAAATGAGCCCTCTGCACCCACTGATCCTGTCTCCTCTGCAAATGTAAAGTTAAGGGCAGAACAGCTGATCACTTTTACCAACAGAGACAACGGTGTTCAACACACAGCCAGAGTGCTAGGCAGAGCAGGAAACGCAAAAGGGCAATACAAAAACTGGTACAATGTGCAATATCTTGAGCATGATGGTAGTGAAGGTGAAAAGAAAGCTGTAGACATGTCACTTGTTAATGGTCTTTGCACAGACGCTGAAAACAAAGATGCAGATGTACTCATAACAAAAGATATTTCTTTTGATTCTTCCAAGCAGCAGGAGACTGAGAGCTGGCAAAGTAATGGTGTGTTTGATGAAGTGAAAGACCTGGGTCAAAAATGTGTGTCTACTAGATGGGTCTGTACACTCAAAGAAACTGCTAATGGTGTCGTCCCAAAGGCTCTGCTTGTATCACGGGGGTTTGAAGAGATAAATACTAAAGAACTACAGAAAGACTCTCCAACATGTGGGTCTGAGTCTCTCAGACTTGTGTTAGCTGTTATATGTCAAAACAAGTGGAGAGTAAATTCAATGGACATTAAATCTGCCTTCTTGCAGGGAATGGAACTGTCAAGAGACATTTATCTTCGTCCCCCACCTGAAGCTGGCAAAGTCAAGGTTTTATGGAAACTGAAAAAGTGTGTTTATGGACTTGCAGATGCTTCACTTTATTGGTACAATAAGGTCAAAGACATTATGCTCAAAACTGGTGGTAAAATATCACAGGTTGATCCTGCAGTGTTCTATTGGCAGAATGACCAATCTGAGATTACAGGAGTGCTTGCATGTCACGTTGATGATTTCCTTTGGGCTGGTTCAAGTCACTTTGCAACTCATATCATTCCTGTACTGAAATCTACCTTCCTTGTGGGCCGTGAAGAACATGACAACTTTTCTTATGTTGGTATGGACATTTGTGCAGTTAACGATGGAATAGAGGTGCATCAACAACTTTACATTGACAACCTACAACCGGTTCAGTTACAAGCAGCACGTGCTGTACAGAGAGAAGCTTCCTTAAGTGAAACAGAATGTGAGCAACTCAGGTCAAAAATAGGACAGATTTTGTGGGTTGCCAAACAAACGAGGCCTGATGTTATGTTTGACACATGTAGCCTTGGATCCAATATCAAACATGCAACTGTACAGTCTATTCATGAAGTGAACAAAGTTATCCGTAAACTTAAAGCAGAGAAAGTGACTCTTAAGTTTCAGCATTTGGGTAACAGTGAGGATTTGGCTTTGGTTATTTTCAGTGATGCTTCATTTGGCAACCTTCCTGACGGAGGTACCCAAGGAGGGACATTAATCGTCCTCATGGGTAAAGGAGGAAAGTTTTGTCCTCTCTTTTGGCAGTCTAAAAAAATCAGGCGTGTGGTCAGAAGTACACTAGCAGGAGAGACCCTTGCCATGTCAGATGGAATAGACAGTGCTGTATTCCTGGCAACACTTTTTTCTGAGCTTACTACTGGCAAAACTGGTCTGAACGCTCTTCCTTTGATCTGTGTGACTGACAATCATTCCTTGTTTGATGCACTCAGGTCTACCAAGCAGGTTACAGAAAAAAGACTCAGGCTGGAAATAAGCAGCATTAAAGAGCTCATACAAGCCAAGAAAATCAGACAGATTTGTTGGTCAGATTCAAAATCTCAACTGGCTGATTGTCTGACAAAAAAAGGAGTTTCACCTTTGACCCTTCTAAAGGCACTAGATGAAGGGCTCTGGATACTGTAATCCTTTGTTTACAAAGTTGTCTTTGCATTAAAATGGACTATTGTTTATTGTTATGATAGTTTGCTTTAAGTAAAGCAAAGCGCGTTGAAATGTTCTTTTTGTTTATATGAATATGCACATGCATATACAAATGTTTACAGGGATGTGTTTATAATTTTATTTTATTTTTTTTATTATTTATTTTTTGAGAAAGAAAGAGGGAGATTGTTAACTTGTTATTTGCTGTTATATCGCGAGAGTATCTGTTGTATCGCGAGAGTATCTGTTGTATCGCGAGAGTATCTGTTGTATCGCGAGAGTATCTGTTGTATCGCGAGATTATCTGTTGTATCGCGAGAGTATCTGTTGTATCGCGAGATTATCTGTTGTATCGCGAGAGTATCTGTTGTATCGCGAGATTATCTGTTGTATCGCGAGAGTATCTGTTGTATCGCGAGAGTTCTGGAAGCCCGGGAGTTGTTGTTGTGTGAGCGGGAAAAAAATGGCGCAGGAATAAAGCTTTTGGCATGAGACGACGTCGTCTTGTATTTTGAATTAACAGCATTGCTTCCTTTTGTCCACCGGCAACAGAGGACATTGTCGCCTATTAGTCACTCCTGCCTTAACTTTTGCACAGTACTGTATATAATGATGCTAAAAGAGATAAATGCTGCTGTTTGTTCCTGATGTCTCAACATGTGACGAGTCCACTGTCTTCTGTCTCAGGATCTGATTCCGGTTTTACTGCCTCGGGTGCTTCCTGCCATCACAGAGGGTTTACAGGACCTGGATGATGACGTCAGAGCTGTTGCTGCTGCAGCCCTCATCCCAGTGGTGGAGGGTTTGGTGCAGCTGTTGCCCAATAAGGTCAGAGGAACAATTGCTCTTCTGTGCTAGATGTACATGTAGCAAAATATATATTCATGAACCCTAACCCTTATGAAGTTACTACTTTACACCAGAAGATGGTGGAGATGAGTAACTTCAGGCTGAGCAATGCTTATGAGTGTGTTTACATTGAAAGTTTTGGAATTTTTAGTTTGAAATCCGCCTCCTGCCGAGAGCTTCTTGGTTGGGGAGAGGAAGAGACAATTATTAGAGGGATAAAACTTAGAATTGCTGGCAGCACTGATCTCTTTGTGTGGTCATGACTGGCTCTGATTAGGAAGCAGAATATTGACTCTGATGAAGAAATTCACTCATCCAGCCTGAAAGGTTGACAGACAGCTGGTACTGCACAAGAGTAAGGTGCATGGGCGTCGCACCAGCGGGGGGATGTGGGCGTTTAAACACCCACACTTTTTCTAATGAGGAGGTTAAACACTCACACTTTTATCACAGTTTAGCTCAAAATGTTACTGTCAGTCCAGTCCCTCCGTGTTTCTCTGGCTATGTTAGCCCTCTCCCTTCACTCTGCTGTTGCTAATTGAAACCTGCACCTTTCTGCACCGGTGTTACGTTAGTATTCCCGTCGATTACATTACTGAAATGTGTTTCTGCGCCGCACCGCCCAAGCAACAACGCACTCGCTCCTGTGGTGCGCTCTGGTTTTGGTTTCATACGAGCCACAGATCTAAGTTGTGTGTTTATTTGTGAAAACTTCAGCTCTGGTGTCACAGGGACAGTTAAAGTGATGAGCAGCTCCTGTCTATAATGGAGACAGCGGGCTGAACCAGCATCCAGCTGGGGAAATTCCCAGTGGGCCGGTCTGAGGTTGTTGACTTCATATTCACACTTACAGGATGGCTTGCCAGGCCAGGATAAAATGTCTTCCCCCTAAAAACACAGCAGCTCCACTTAGATTTATATGTGAATGAACAAGCAGCCTTCAGGAACAATGTTTACCCATAATTCACAACTACGTCCTGCGTGAAAACCAAATGCTCATTCTAGCTCTCAGCATGGTCGTGGAGGGCTGGTGTTCTGGGCTTGAAGTCCTGTCATGCTAGTCCATCTGATTGGGCCAAACTCTGATTTTGTAAATATGCTGTATTTTTATTTGTCACAGGTACCTTTCATAGTGAACACATTATGGGATGCACTTTTGGACCTGGATGACCTCACTGCTTCCACCAACAGCATCATGACGTTGCTGTCCCTACTGCTGACCTACCCACAGGTCCGACAGTGCAGGTGAGTCTCTGAAGCTCGCATCACACACAGTGAGTTTTGCAGTAACCTCTTCTCTAAAATAACCTTCAATTGTGAAAAACTGCCTAGTTGTGATGAGATAGTCAACACAGTGTTTGTTGCCCCACCTTCGCCTCTCTAGCCTGCAGCAGTCACTCACCATCCTGGTTCCTCGCGTTTGGCCGTTTTTGAGACATACAATATCATCAGTTAGAAAAGCAGCTCTGGAAACCCTTTACACACTTTTGTCCAAGGCTGATCAGGTAAGTCGACTAAGAAGCAACACATCCATACGGTTAGAAATGTGTAGCTGTTTAGAAATGCACACCAAAGTTAATTATACCACCAAGTGTTGTGTTGTTTTCTTTACTTGTCAGAGCTGCGCTGTCTGGATTAACCCCATATTACAAGATATGCTGCGACACATCTTCCAATCCTGCATATTGGAGAGCAGCGAGGAAATCCTGGAACTGATACAAAAGGTTTGTTTGACTTTTTCTGTCAGTGTGCCGCAGAGCAGCTGTAGCCACAATCTGGCTCATCACCACAATTGTTTCTGTAGTGTAAAGCACTTTGGAGTCCTCTGACTCAGGAAGGTACTTTACAAGTGCAAGTCATTCATCATGTACCTACAAACTTGTCGCCGTTTTTGAAGCCAAAAATGACGTTCATGTGAATCGTATAGATCCAAAGAGTTTTTGTTTTGAGGGGGGTGGGGGGGGGGGTGTCTGTCGGGTCAGTAGGTTTTTCTAATGAACAATTTCTGAGAAAGGATGGGAATTTACCTTTCTCACTAGTCACAGACACAGCATGTCAAAGTGATTTCATGCAGCGGCAGCGCTGTTGCATTGATGAATTTTTAAGGTGTGGACAACTTGTCTAATCAACATTGGCTGTGGTCTCTAGTAGGAATCGAGGACACTTTCCAAGTTTGCGGGTATGCATTTGTCATCAACCTGGCAGCACGATATTGTGATAATAAAACTATAGGAATGGCTTAAAGCTTGGAGGTCTTGATCAACCACAGCAGTAGCAAAGATTTTGCTCTGCAGGTCATTCTCTACACTCTATTGTAACAAATAATTTTTTACAGTGGAGGCTTAGCTGCGGCGCGTGTAACCCTGGTCTATGCTTTACAGTACGTGTACATGCACATCAGAAAACCAAAGTATTGCCCTAAAAAGACTTGCGCTGTTTTTTTAAAAATACATGTAAACATGTTAGTCTGGCTGAAAAACGGGTTCAAATCAAACTGAAGCACCCAGATAAAGCGGTAGCAATCCGATTGCATTCTGCATGTTATCGGCCAGCCAAACTAAACTAGGACGCTCACCTTCTGGAAGTGACAATATCATGAACGCGGTCTTCTGACAAGAATGCCTGCTACAAACTCAAGTATTTCGGTGTAAAAATAACTGTTCACATGTGCACGGTATGCTTTGTGCAGTGGAGTCACAAGTTCACTTCTTTTTATCTGCTGACGTGTTCGCTGTAGACAAGAGACCCTCCATGAGCTTCTGCTGGTGGCTGGCTCCTCCTGAGCTGGATGTTCTTGTAATGTGATGAAGGAGCTATTCCACCGAAGGTTATTTACCCTCTCTCCTCAGGAAGAATTAATCTGCATGAGACTGCCTCAAGGTCATGCATTTGCTTCTACAACTGTTTCCTTTCCAGCTCAAAAGAAGAAAGAAGATGAACTTTCTTTTTTAATAAATCAAAGAACTCTATTTTAATAAAGCTAATCAAGCAAAGTGTTAGTCAAATAATAAAATGTGAACCAATCTGTGAAATGATAATGTTTAGGATCAGTGGTATTTTAATATTAATAAGTAATGTGACTTTAATCTAGCTGCACTAGACATCCTGATCCACGTAATGCTTAAAATCACATGACACATTTTATCTTTCTCATCCAATCGGAACCTTCCCTTCTGAAGCGTGGCATAGTCTCTGTGGTGTTTATAAATCTGTCCAACTTTAAATCGACCGTAAATCAAAACATCCAGTTTAATAAAACCAGTCCCCATGCCATCTCAAGACAGTTCACCGCATTCTAAGAGACGTATCGGACCGGCCACCCGGACTTCCTTTTTAAGCAAAGAACTGACAAGCTGGAAATTCTGTTGCACTTTACCAACCAAGCAACGGTTCCTTTCAGAATAAAAGCTGAACTCACTGACCCTCCGGGTCCATCTGACGCTGTCAACCAACTGTCTCTTTTTACCTGGAGACAATCCAAAGACTAGTCTGTCGTACTGCTGACGCTGTTTCATCGGCTCCGGTACCGAAAGGGGGGTCCGAGGACCTGGCATTCTGGATTTGTACGGAGGTCTCATCCTAAGGGTATGTGTGGAGTGAGAAAACGCGTCTTATGTGTTTATGAAACTCCGATCATAGCTTAAGAGCAAAACATCACTTCATCACTCAGACTTGCTTCTCCGGATACGAGAGTTCTGATGACAACATCACTCACACATACACCATCCATCTCGCATCTCATTCACACCAAGATCCATCCATTCACTTAGAGTTTAGACTTAGTCTGGTTTAAAAATGTTTTAGAAATAAATCTTCTTAAACTTTTTAAAGGTGACTCTCTCTTCTGTTGTCTCTCAGTTAATACGAAGTGTTACATAATCCCTGCATAAAAAGTTCCAATCTTCTGGTTTAAGTTATCCAAAGATCCATGAGATTGATTTCATAGTTCCTATGGAATCTCACATTTTATGGTTCTTTAAATAATATGTAAATTTAATCGTTACATTCTTAAGACTCCCTCTCTGTCAGCTCACAGAAGAACTGCATCATGGTATCAAACCGTTCATCTGCCTCCTGTTCAGCCTCTGGCCCGAGCATCTCCTGCACAGTAGCCAGACGTGTGTCACCCCTTTTCTCCTTCCTAGAAAAAAAAACATGGAGGGTGGAGAGAGAATCAACACACAAGTGTCATATAATACACTATATTATAGTTCTGTGTAGTGAGATGTGTGTTGCAGGTCTGGGGTGACAGAGCTGCTGGTAGGTAGTAGGTTGTAGGTGCAGTGTAGATGCTGAAGGATTAAGTATTTTAGAATTGAACCACCGAAAACAAAACTAAATGATTACATATTAAACACATGCTTGCTATCAGCGGCTTTTGCTCCGAGATTTAATCCCAAAATGGACAATTTTCTTCCGTTATATCAAGTGAAGAGACGAAACATTTGTAAATGCATTAAGACTGTTTTCTTTACCTGTTCAGTTTTGGCAAGGTGTGCTGGCGGCAGCAGGAGTATCCAGGATGCAGTCCAGTCTTTTTCTAAATAAACACGATTCGGAACAGAAAAGATGTGGAAATCAAGCAAGAGGCGTAGCTCACCAAGCGCCGGTGTCATGTTAGTTCCATAGGAACCACAGAAGGTCCTAGCCCCAGAGTAGGAGCTAAAATGGTTCTAGGAACTACGGATAAATGTTCCTAGTTCCCATCTGTCCGAACGGTGCAAAAGAGGGCTGGTTCCTGAAAAGGTTCTAGGAACTACAAAAGGTTCCTACAGTCAGAAAGGGCCTTATGATGTGACTTGTGCACAGGTGCGTTGTGATGTCGATTCTCAAACGTAACATTGTGCAGATCTAACCCGCAAGTTAAATTTGGATAAAAGGCTTAAGTTTAAAAAAAGCTGATATCAAAGAGTAAATCTGTGTTCTTGATTTTCTAGAGCAGGGTATCTGTGGGTCCTTAAAAAGTCTTAAATTTGCTTTTCCAAATTTAAGACCTTAAAAATCCTTAAAAATTACAAATAATCCTTAAGTACAGTTTCCAAAGGTCTTAAATTACTAAAGGCCCAATAAACAAAAATCTTATATTTCTATAAAATTTTGTGAATTTCTAGTTAGTGTTCAGCATTTTTTGTGTATGATGTTGACGTAAGCGGAACCGTATGCAGTCAGTTGGTTGTGAAAGGGGGCTATTTTTTTTAGATGAGCACATTAGCTGGTTAAGCTAGTGGGAGCTTGCGCTATGGGGAAGTGCAAGTTTAATGGTAACTGGATGGTTAATTCCACGTTTGCAATGTGGTTAGCACCGGTTCCAGGTAATAGCTGGAAATTATAGCTTAAAGTTAACTTCAAAAATAGCTTGGTCTTAAAAAAGGTATTAAAGTCTTAAATTTGGCTCCCTTAAACCTGCAGATACCCTGTTCTAGAGTCTCCTGTGAGTTTTGTTGGTCTGTTTTATTTGTGCAGGTGTGGATGGAGCTGCTGTCTCAGGCCCCTCAGCAGTATGTGGTAGCAGCCAGCTGTCCCTGGATGGGAGCCTGGCTCTGCCTCATGATGCAGGCCTCTCACATTCCTATAGATCTGAGCATGCTGCTGGAGGTGAAGGCTCGCTCCAAGGTATGCTTTTGTATGTAAATGAATTATTGTCATGACGTCATGATGATCCGTCATCAGGTTTTTTGCTTGACTAGGCAAAAATACTAGGACATTGTCTAATATTGGAAAGTCCTAAATTTGCAAGAATAGTTCAGTTTTCCATCTCTAAATGGGTAAGTTTACAGTAATAAATCCAATATACTTCAATATCATAAATTAATTCCTTTCTAAGGAAATTAAAATATGTTTAAAAGGAAAAAGATAACAATGTAAGGAAAGGGTGAGAAAATGAGTAGGAAAGAAGGAAATCATAATACATACATAGTTAAACAGATTAAATTATTAACGATGGATATGTGAAAACATTCATAAAGATATGAAAAATAGTTAAGCAAGTTAAAACTGACTAAACTAACCGTTTCCTCGGCATCAGGAGCATGCACTGGGCTGTGAGCGCCTCCATTCCAACTAACTAGACGTGGAATGTTTTATAGGAGGATCTTTGTGCGCATGCGCGAGTGACTGGGTGGCAAAACAAACCTGCTAGCAATATGAGACATAAACTTTTAAGAGAGTTTGTGGACAAAATCCGCGATAATTTTTGTCTAAAGACAAGATTGTTTAGAGAAAAGCTCATCCGTTCCTGTATTTCAGGTTACACATCATCTTGTTTCTTGCACAGACTTACTTGGGTGCATCGGCAATCCAAACAGAATAGTGGCTATTCTTTCACATCCCATAGATATCACTTTCTAGTCTTTTAAGGTATAACACTCCCATATTTCCCAAAGTCTCTCTCCTTTCTCCTTCTGCAGCCGCAGTGAAAAGGTCATCATCTCCATGTGTTGAATCATATTTATAGCGCTTTGCGCTGTATAACATACGAAAGATCAGACCATACCTAACACAACATGCCACCCAGCTCCTGGTGCAATCTACTGTCATCTCCCACCTCGATTACTGCAATGCCTTTCTAACTGGTCTTCCAGGCTGTACTGTGAGACCTCTTCAAATGGTCCAGAACGCAGCGGCGCGTCTGGTCTTCAGTCAGCCAAAAAGAGCACACGTCACCCCTCTGTTCATTGAGCTCCACTGGCTACCGCTAGCAGCACACATCAAATTCAAATTGCTAACACTAGCATACAAAGTCCAAGATGGTACGGCTCCCATCTACCTGAATCCTCTTGCAAAGGCTTATGTCTCGGTCCGGCCGCTCTGGTCATCCCAGGATTGTCGGCTAGCAGTGCCTACACCACGCTCAGGACAATCCAGACTCTTCTCAGGCATCGTTCCACAAATGTGGAATGACCTTCCAAGCACTACCAGAACAGCGGCTTCCTTTTCTATTTTCAAGAAACTCCTAAAGACCCTGCTCTTCAGAGAGTATCTTCTTAACTAGCACCTTCCCTGCACCCGTCCCCCCTCTCCACCGTCCACTCCTTTGTTCCCTCCTCCATGATTGATGTCAAGTTGCTGTTACTGTTGTTGTTAGCCTCAAGGGCAACATGCCTATTATCACTTGTAAGTCACTTTGGACAAAAGCATCTGCTAAATACATAAACATAATGTTAATGACAAGCTTCCGTGTGGGGGTCTTGTCTGCAGCCAACACTTAGTAATTGCCTTTTTGGATGCAACCAAGATTATTTTCAGTAGGTATGGATCTCTTCCTTTTATATCCTCAGGGATTTTTCCAAGGTACTTGGTACTAAAGGAGAAGTCCAGTGTCTCTCCATGCACGTCCACCACCATTTGTTTAATCTCCTCCCAAAAGGTCTTTAGGACACGACCAGAAGATATGGAAGCAACCCGCGGCAACCTCTCCATTCTCACATGAACCATTTATCTTGGATTTCTGCTTTGGTGTAATGAAAAATTGAATAAAATTCTTCCATCCAAAATCTCGCCATGTTATGGAATTTGTGGTAGATAACACATTCCTCCACATCTGTGACAAAGCTTCCTTTGAAATTGTTATACCTGCTTCTTTTTCCCATCGATGGCTGACATATCTTGTTGAGTCTTTTTCATAGAAATAAAACTTCTGTACAATTTCCCTATGGTATCTCTTATAGGCTTCTCTCCATATGCATCCATGAATCTTTGAATCACCCCATTAGCTGCCTCAGAGTCGGGCATTCTAATTTCCCTCCGGAAAAAGCTCTGAACCTGCAACGGTAGAAGTCTTCTCTACCGATCTGATAAATCCGACACATGTCCTCAAAATTGATCAGTTCCCCATGCATCTTCCATGCCTGGACCACTCCCTAAATTTATGGTCCAACCATGCTGGGAGGTATGCCGGCCAACCCAGAAAACCTACTTCCTTAGAGAGACAGTCTTTTTACCACCTCTACCCATTTTTCCAGGGAAAAACTTGCACAGAAATTCTGCAACTGATATACCTGTGGCGAACTCTCTAGAGACCCCGGAACAGACTGTATTGGGAAATCCATTAAGGAAAGCTCAATGTCCTTCCATTTTGCCTCATACTTAAGCCTGATTCATGCTTCTCCGTCTGCGTCAGTGCGGAGACGCACAACGTCCTTGCATGCCTGCCGGAGAGCTCCGCAAGGAAGGACGGAGTCGAGCTCTCTTTTCTAAACATCTGTCAGTCGAGACGCACAACGCAGGCTTGTGATTGGTCAGGACTCCGCTGTCATCTACACCGCCGCCATTGCGCCCTCAAAAACATAAAGATAGCCGAGGTTAACAAGCGGCAGACACGGAGAAGCTTGAAGAATACCTTGCGAAAAAACTCTAAAAACATGAACGTTTAATTGCCCGTGACTGGAGGAGTGAAAAGATGCACAGCAAGCATTTTATTTGTGGATGGAAATGACAGGAAACGTCAGTTTAGAGGAGGCGAGTGCATGAAGAGGTGGAGGAGAATGAGAGACAAATATGTTCTTGTTAAAAAGTCTCTTATATACAAAAAAACAATATAAACACACTATCTTGGACCGATACATGACAGGATACCACAGAACAGCGCTACGCCCTCTGTTGTCCTGCCGGGGAATTGCTTTGCAACACTCTCCAGGAGACGGAGAAGTATGAGAGCAAAACGCTTCAGTCAGTCCGTGCGTGTCTGTCCCTTGCGGAGCTGACAGAGAAGCATGAACCAGGCTTTAGTTACACCAGCACACTAGGGGTCTGATATGGGCCGCCAAGTAATAATCCTCAAAGCATGGTAGGCCCCCCTCCCCAAGACAACTGCAACTTTGCATATCTCCCTCTCGGCCTTTTTTTTGCTCCATACGAATCTTGAACAATGCATGTCTCATTCCCTGAATTGTGTTGTTGGGACCTCCACAGGATGTGCTACAAATAAATATAGCAATTTTGGGAGAACATTTATCTTTATCGCTCTAACTCTGCTGCCCAGTTCGAGGGGGAGCAGACCCCACCTCTCTAGATCCTCATTTATTTTCTTGTTCACCTGATTGTAATTAACTTCATATAACAATGCAGAATCTTTTGTCAGCAAGATGCCCAAATACTCCATGTGCGATTGATGCCATCTGAGTCTGTATCTAGCAACTAATTGACTTGAGGGATCAAAAAAGAATGTCAAGATTTGAGTTTTTTTTTAATGTTCAGTCTATAACAGTCTGCCATATTCTTCCAGGATTCCCATAAGCAGCAGAATCCCCTCTTCTGGGTTCCCCACCATTACCAACACGTCATCTTCATACAAACAATTTTATTTTCCACATTCCCTACTGTAACCCCCTTAAATCGGGTCTCTTCCCTGATGCATTGAGCTAATGGTTCGATAAATGAATGAAAGAGCAGCAGGCTTAACAGACAACCCTGTCTGCAGTAGAGCCCTGCGTGGAACTGTTTTCTTCATCCCGCTCCTGCCCGCTCCCGCTGAATTTCTGACCATTACCGCCTGCAACCGCAACGTGTGTGTTACACTCCCGCCCGCACCCGCAGTGTACATGTCTACTCCCGCCCGCAACCGCAAAACTCGGAGAAATTATTACGTCACAATAAAAGAGATGTATTGAGTTTGTGTCCTCTCTGGTCCTGGAGAAAACATGTAATTTTATAGGCTATACCAGGGGTTGGCGACCCGCGGCTCTTCTATCCATCTGATGCGGCTCTCTGTGCTTGTAAAATAATGAATGGATATTTAAATAAAATGCTTTATATTTTACTGAATTAATTTTATATCTGTATGTCAATTCTAAATGTAACGATTGTCTGCGTAAACCTGAACAGTTCCAACCCGGTCTTAACTGTGAGACCGGGTTCACGGGTCATGCTTGTGCGTAATCATATCGGTACTTTTTGAGCTGAAGAGGATGTGAGATTCTGGGCTTCTCCTCAGACGGCTCATGGATGTGTCGCCACATTGGAGACAGGAACAAGCACTATTCAGCCAAAGTTTCATAATCAGGGAACATATTCTAAGTGACAAGTCTCGCTTCAGTCGGAGGAATCTTCCCGCATGAACTCTGGTTCAGCGACGCGCTCCAAGCCCCTCTCCACATCTTCAGCTCGCTGTGCACCTTACGTACGCGCTGACAGCGAGCTGCGCTGAGCAGTGTCCAGCTCAGATGTTTAGATGGGAATCTTTTCTTGGGTGATTTAGCTACATCTGCGATGTGCGTAACGAATAAAATGTCAGTTCGTCTGCATGCGTCGGGGTAATTCTTTCCATTCTTTCTCCGTCAAAATAAACGGTCAAATACAAGAACTATCCGGTCAACACAACACAAGCCCTGCTTTTAACTGTTTTGTTTTCTTGTGAAAATTGTTGAAAAGAGATAAAATTGAACTTGATTACCACCAGAGCCGCACACTGCGCCGTTACCTCTGTGACTGTAAATGAGGGGAAAACAAATTGATCGGATCCTGCACGTCTTTTAACACATTGGTCAGGATTGACGCACTTTGTTTTCATTTAGTTTTTAACCCTTAAACGCCGACTCGTCACCAGGATCACCGGCGACGCCTCGGTGCATGTGATTTCAAATAACTCCTTGCTACTTAAACAATAAAATTCTAAAAATAAACATAAAGGAGCTACTGTGTGGTGCTTAAAGGGTTAATGAAATCAAGGCCGTTTCATATTCTATTCTCTGTAATCAGGCAGTGATTGAGGTCGCTTTTCCAAGAGAGACCTGAATGAGAAATATTAACACAATCGGAGAAACTCTTCCAAATGTCTGACTTGCCTTGCTTTGGTTTTTGTTTCATAAAGACCTTGTTTCAGCTTCTTTTCAACATCAGTTGCCGACCCCATCATACTCATCCCGATCCCGCACTGTTTCTTTTAGCCGACTGTTCCCGCCCGCAGCAAAATTTACACTGCCCGCCCTCGCAAGATTTGTGTTGGGTCCCGCGTGACCCAATCCCGAGGCAGCCCTCTAGTCTACCGCCACGTTGTAGAGTTATCTGATTTGAGAGGCTTCCGTTAATTTTGATCCTTGCTGTTGGTGACAAATAAACCATTCTTAGGCATTGAATAAACTTATCACATAGCCCAAATCTTTTCAGTACTTTAAATAGAAATTCCCACCCAACCGTATCATATGCCTTTTCTGCATCAAGCCCAATTATAACTGTTCCGGTCTTCCCTTTAAGTATCTGGTCAATAATATGAGTGGCCCTGATATTATTGTGTGTTTGTCTGTTACTAATGAAGCCTGTTTGGTCCTCGATCAGCGTGGGCGTCAATATGCTTAATCTTTTAGCCAAAATTGCAGTAAATCGTTTAGTCTGTATTTAACACGCTAATTGTTTGAATGCTGTAGAGCTGTGTGCTTCCTTAAGTCCACAACAACCTCCTCTGTCTTCTGGGTGTTTAGCACCAGGTAGTTGTGGCTGCACCAGGACACCAGCCGTTCCACCTTCTGTAGGCAGACACATCTCCGTCAGAGATGAGTCCGATGACGGTGGTGTCGTCTGCTAACTTGATTAGCTTGACAGACTCGTGGTTGGAGGTGCAGCTGTTGATGTATAGTTGTAGGTTATTGTATTAGTCATAGTATAGTTTATAGTATAATATGAGTTATAGTATAGGGCCCTGTTGAGCAGAGAAGATGTATTCATCTTGACTGTTTTAATATCTACTCTCAGGTTTTTATTTATGAAGAGTTAAAATAACTTATGTTTCTGCAACAGGATAAAAGTGGGGCCAAGTCACGCCAAGGAACCAACCAGGTCAGTCAGGTAAAAGAGACCATTCAGGAGTACATAGCTGGTGCTGAGACAGTAACTGAAGACTCGATGACACGAGACTACGTTGTGGTTCGCGCTCGACTCATGGCAGCCAAGTACGTTTATTTATTTATTTATTTTTCTGTTCTCAGATATGGACTTTTTGGGTAATTAAGTGATCTCATGTTCTGTTTCCAATGCTATGATCCAGGTTGCTGGGGGCTCTGTGTTGGTGCATATGTGACCCTCAGCTCAACTCTGTATCTCAGGAAATCAGACCAGCAGAGTCTCTGGGCCAGCTGCTGCTTTTCCACCTCAATTCCAAGTCTGCCCTGCAGCGAATAGCAGTGGTGCTGGTGCTTTGTGAGTGGGCGGCGCTGCAGAAGGTAAGGGGATCAGATGCTCAGGGGACTCGGAACATGGATGTTAGTGAGCAGAAAACGTTTGGTTATTGACAGGCTATGTTTCCTTAAACCCTTCAGGATTGCCAGCTGGTGTCGTCCATGGTGCAGCCTCGGCTCCTGGCCATCCTGACAGAGCAGCTGTACTACGATGAGATCGCCATCCCTTTCACACGCATGCAGAATGAATGCAAACAGCTGATTGCATTGCTGGCTGATGCACATATAGACCTCCAAGACAGACTCCATTGTAGTGTTTTCACCATCGAGCAAGCAAACGAACTGGTAAACTGATAAACACACCCTGCTAATGAAGATCAACATACCTAATCTTTACCTACCGTAATTTCCGGACTATAGAGCGCACCTCAATATAAGCCGCAACAACAAAAAAAAGGTTTTCTACACGCACGCCGCACTCGAATACAAGCCGCTGCGCAGCAGCCACATGCAGGTCTCCAGCACATGTATGGCCATAACAGAAGATAATTAGAATGACGCTACACGGGGCTTTTTCGTTGTTGTTTTAATTGAACAAAACAAACTTTAAACACGGGTGAATGTGCCTGCAAGTTTAGAAAAGAAAACAGCACTGATAGCATTCATATTTCTGGATGGTTATAAAATAAAAACAGCACTGACACGTTATTACCAGTAATTTACATGTTTAGAAGAAAAGATCAGCGCTGACACAGCATTGATAAGCCCTGGATGATTAGAAAATAAAAACTGCACACAAAACATGCTTGGTTAGTAAATAAAACACACTTGCCTACCAGAAGAAGTCATTCGCTCTCATCTTCCTCCTGCGCACTAAAGCCATTAAAGTTCTCTTCTTCAGTGTCTGAGTTGAACAGCCTCAGAAGAGCTTCATCACATACCTTTTCTGTGGCGATGTCAGTGTCGCTGTCCGTGTTGCTGTCATCATCCCGGAGTGAAGCTGGCTTGAATGAGTTCTTCCCGCTGCCGTCTCCAGCGCCGAACCATGGATTCATTCATGCCAAGTAGGGCTGTCGCGGTAACCGCAAAAATGAAATATCGCAATATGAAGAAACCCACCCCGCTGCATCATGGGCCACCGCGATTACTGAACTTGTTTCAACTCAATGATGCATGTTGAGAAGGATGGCTGCACTGGTATCAAAACGAAACGTTACTTCGCTCCTTTGGGAGCGCTTTGGTTTTCAGTACGTCAGCTGCTGCGCAGCCAGAGTCCTTGGCCGAGAGAGAGCTGCCACCAGCGGCAAAAATAAATAAATAAATAAACGCTTGGAGACCTGCTGAAGTCCCGGACAAGCACTGCTTCTGCAACCGTCCCGAAGAGAGTTTGAGCCGAGCTGGAGCTCACTCGCTACCTGCAGGAGGAATGCATCCACCCTAAAGAACCCCCCTGACATGGTGGAGCAACAACCGGGAGAGATTCCCTTTGGTCGCCAGCCGCACGTAAGTACGTGTGCGTTAGTGCAACGAGCGCTCCATCTGAGAGGGTTTTCAGTGTTGCTGGAAATGTTGCCACCCCTCTCAGATCCTCTCTCAAACCGTATATGGTTAACATGCTGGTTTTCCTTGTGGGTAACAAGGACGTGACCGAGCTATAAATCACCGTCATTCGTCTGTGAAAGTGAAATGATAGTGCCCCCCCCCCCCCCCGGCGCGCGTGCGCCCGGTACATGTAATTTTTTATGCTTGATTTTAAACAACTAAACAAAATGGGGACTTGTTTCTTATTTGTTAGATGCTGCAGCCAAATTTGCATTTAAAAGTTTAACCTCCTGAATTTTGTTGTTTTTAAGTTCAGTCGGACTCCGACTGTCGGAGAAACAAACGTTACTGCGGTTGTTACTGCCCTTTGATCTGCACTCAGTAAAGTGTTATAAAAGAAGGCATGGCAATTTTCAACCTTTTTTAAATGTGTAAACATTATGTTTAGATAGTACTGCAATAAAAAGAAAATGCTGCAATAATATCGCACACCGCAATATTAAGCCACCCTGAATCACCGCAGGGGGAATTCCTCAACCGCAACAGCCCTAATGCCAAGCTTACGTGCGGCAGCACTGTTTCCCTCCTTTACTGCCAGACTGATGGTTTTCAACTTAAATGCGGCAACATATGAACTCATACGTGTAGTTACCATGATGAGGGGGTATGGATTTGAAAAAAATTCTTCGTTGTGCCGGCTGCTTGCATGTGCTAAATTAAAATGAGCACTTTTTGATTTCCACTTTTGACTTCCACCTGTTTCACTTTCTGCTACAGCGCCCCCTGGCAGGTGAAGGAAAATCTTCAGTAAAGCCGCACCTCATTATAAGCCGCATGGTTCAAAGCGTGGGGAAAAAGTAGCGGCTTATAGTCCGGAAAATATGGTAATAAGCTTAAATTGTATGTGTAACATAGCCAGGCCAGCCAAGTCAATTCTTATGGGAAGCAAAGGGCCTGGTAATGCTCCCATTCACACCATCTTTGACTACAGCTAAAAAACTACAGTGTTGCACTAATACAGAAATAATTTCCGCCCTTTTCTGATTGGTTATTTTTGAGCTGGCTTGTCCCGCCCCTCATGGTGCTTTCTGCCTCTGAGTGTCCAGACTCGTTCTCTGTGTCGAACAGACAGGTCAAGTCTGGCAGACCAGGCTACATGTAACGTAGTGAGACTCCCAAGTTAATGACTTGCTTTGAAGGAACACTCATCACCCACATCTTTCATGCCAGTGCATTAAAATAAGAAAAAATGAGTCCTTTTAAGTTAGTTTTATTTCTTGTGTCTTTGTTTTTGGTCATTTTTTTGTACTGTTTATTAGGGCTGAAACGATTCCTCAAGTACCTCGAATAATTCGAGTACAAAAAAGCCTGGAGTCAAATTCTCTGCCTCAAGGCTTCGTTTAGTTCATGTTTAATTAATTCATGGCTTTGCAATCGCCTGGGGTCACGTTTCACCCGGACCGAAATAAGTAACGCACATGCACACTGCACTGAATGCACACGCGCGTTGCGAATGCAACGTAAATTTCTCTTAAGCCATGGTGGACAACGTGGACCCCGGTGGAGTGCGAAAAAGACAGAAAATGTCAAAGGTGTGGGACCATTTTTCATTTCGTAAGGCAGAAAACGTAGTCCAGAGTACATACTGTAAAATGGATTTAGCCTACCACAGCACCACATCCTCGGTGCTGCAGCACCTGACTGACCAGGAAACATCCACATGTAAATATCACTTCTGCAAGCGGACTCGGAGGTCCGCTATATATTCTGCGGACACTGTGCAACTTTTTCATTTGTAGCACTCAGTTTCAGCTCACACTGCGTCTGGTAGCAACACGTCGGACCTAAACATGTGCTAAAAATGGCAGTTTTTACACAACACGTCTGACTTTTTATTGTGTTATTGATGTCTGTTGTCAAAGCTTATTTTTGTAAAGCACAAGACTTTTTCCAGCATAAGTAGGACTCCTCCTGGTGTGTAGAGCGCCGTGTTCTCTCCTAGAGTTTTGTTTTAAAGTTCGTAAATGAGAATTAAACCAGGGAGCCAACTTCCTGTGCTTAATTATCTTTTTTTAAAGGGGCAACATCATCTAATGAAGTAACATTATGAACTAAATCATCAATTTGTGAAGGGCTAGAAATTGCCCTCTGCTACTTTCCTCTGAGATGCTGAAGTCCGTAAAAATGGAACAGTTGATTTAAAAGATGCAACAGCGTTGTCAGATAGATACAGACTATAGCAAAATTTACTTTCATGTCTTGAGAACTCAGTTATAAAAAACTCAAAGGTTATTAAAAAGTGGTCTGAGGGGACTAGATTATGTGGAAATGTTATTTCCTCACACTCTGCCATAAGTCAGCACAACGTCTAATGTATGATGGCAGGAGTGGGTGGAGCTATGTATTCTTTGGGTAAAACCAGATATTACTAAAGGCTACATTGAGGCTATCACTTTCAGTGTCAACATGAATGGTAAAATCACCCACTACAATTACCTTATCTGTATTTAGCACCAAATCAGATAAAAAGTCAGAGATCTGATACAAAAACTCAGAGTAAGGGTCTGGTGGATGATACAAAACTACAAACGAGTGGTTTTTACAGTTTTGCAGTCTGGATTAGGAAAACTAAGAATAAGATGTTCAAAAGAACTGTAACTTTTAATTGGTTAGGGATTGATTAATAGGTCTGAATGAAAAATTGCAAAACAGATTGCCTCAACATCTTGGCTGCTCCTAGAAATCCTGTCCATAAGTTATGAACAGAATTGGACAGCACAGAAGTCCTATAACACAACACCGCTCTGGTTCATATCGGGGGGCGTTCCTCAGCCACCACACCTCTCCAGGTCTCATTGTCTTTTCCCACGTGAGCATTAATGTCCCCCAGCAGAACGAGGGAGCCACCGGAAGGAGTGCTCTCCAGATTTCTAAGGTGTCATTTTCACTGATATGTAGATGATACCCAGGTATACGTGCCTTTTAAGTGGGGCCACAATCGTGCTTTGCAGTCTAGATTGTCTTGTTGAGGTTAGGCAATGGATATTCTCTAACTTCCATCTTTTTAATGATGAAAACTCAGAGGTTGTAGTCTTTGGTCCAAATACTTTGTCTAGGGTGGGTGCAGTGGACCTCGGTCAGCTTGCCCCATTCTTGAAATGGAGTGTGACTTCCCTGGGTGTTGTGCTGGATGGGGATCTTGTCTTGGACAGGCAGATCAGTGCAGTGACTAAATCTAGTTTTTAACAATTAAGAAGAATCGCCAAAGTAAAGACCTTGTTAAAAAGGGATTTAGAAACAGTAATTCATGCTTTGATTACATCCAAGCTTGATTACTGTAACTCTTTGTTCCTTGGCGTTTCACAATCCCACCTCTCGCGCTTTCAGTTGGTGCAGAATGCTGCTGCACGGCTGCTCACTGGGATGAAAAAGATGGAGCATGTTACTCCTGTCCTGGCTTCACTGCACTGGCTGCCTGTTTGTTTTAAAATCCAATGCAAGGTGCTTTTATAGGCTTTAAATCCATGCATGGCCATGCTGCTGGTTTTTTACTCCCCTTCACGGTCTCTGAGGTCGGCTGATAGGATGCTCCTGGAAGCCCCTAAAACCAGACGTAAGCTCAGAGGTGGCAGGGCTTTCTCTGTAGTGACCCCTAGGCTCTGGAATGATCTGCCTTTGAGCATTAGGTCGGCCTGTTCACTGTCTGGTTTTAAATCTCTTTTGAAAACCTGTTTTTTTAATGATTTGGCTTTTAACTCAGCGTGAGTCTTTTAAATGTTTGTTTTTAAGTTTTAGTTTTTATGCATTTTTATGTTGAGTCGTCGTCGTCTTCCTCCGCTTGTCCGGGTCGCGGGGGCAGCATCCCAACTAGGGAGCTCCAGGCCGTCCTCTGCCCGGCCTTCTCCACCAGCTCCTCCGGCAGGACCCCAGGGCGTTCCCGGACCAGATTGGAGATGTGACCTCTCCAACGTGTCCTGGGTCGACCCGGGGGCCTCCTGCCAGCAGGACTTGCCTGAAACATCTCACCGGGGAGGCGTCCAGGAGGCATCCTGACCAGATGCCCAAACCACCTGAACTCGCTCCTTTCGATCCGGAGGAGCAGCAGTTCTACTCAGTCTCTCTACGGAGGAAACTCATTTCGGCCGCATGCATCCGCGATCTCGTTCTGTCGGTCATTACCCAAAGCTCATGACCATAGGTGAGGATTGGGACGTAGATCGACTGGTGAATCGAGAGCCTGGCTTTCTGGCTCAGCTCCCTCTTCACCACGACAGATCGGCCCAGCGTCCGCATCACTGCAGAGGCTGGACAAATCCGCCTGTCGATCTCCCGACCCCTCCTACCCTCACTCGTGAACAAGACCCCGAGATACTTAAACTCCTCCACTTGAGGTAGGACCTCTCTCCCGACCTGGAGTTGGCAAGCCACCCTTTCCCAGTCGAGAACCATGGCCTCAGATTTGGAGGTGCTGATCCTCATCCCGGCCGCAAACCTACCCAGCAAGAGCTGAAGGTCAGAGCTGGATGAAGCTAGGAGGACCACATCATCCACAAAAAGCACAGACGAGATTCTCCTGCCACCAAACTCGACACACTCCACACCACGGCTGCGCCTAGAAATTCTGTCCATAAAGGTAATGAACAGAACCGGTGACAAAGGGCAGCCCTGGCGGAGTCCAACCCTCACCGGGAACAGGTCCGACTTACTACCAGCTATGTGGACCAAACTCACGCTCCTCTGGTAAAGGGACTGAATGGCCCTTAACAGAAAGCCACCCACCGCATACTCCTCGAGCGTCCCCCACAGGGTGCTCCTGGGGACACGGTCATAAGCCTTCTCCAAATCCACAAAACACATGTAGATTGGTTGGACAAACTCCCATACCCCCTCCATCACCCTTGCAAGGATCCACAGTTCCACGGCCAGGACGAAAACCACATTGCTCCTCCTCAATCTGAGATTAAACTATCGATCGGACCCTCCTCTCCAGTACCATGGAGTAGACCTTTCCAGGGAGGTTGAGGAGTGTGATCCCCCTATAGTTGGAACACACCCTCAGGTCACCCTTCTTAAAGATGGGGACCACCACCCCGGTCTGCCACTCCACAGGAACTGCCCCCAATGACCACGCAATGTTGCAGAGATGTGTCAACCATGACAGCCCTAAAACATCCATAGCCTTGAGATACCCAGGACGAACCTCATCTGCCCCCGGGGCTCCGCTGCTGTGTAGTTGTTTGACTACCTCAGCAACTTCTGCCCCAGAGATTGGACAGTTCATCCCCAGGTCTCCTGGCTCTGGTTCCTCCTCGGAATGCGCATAGGCGGGATTGAGGAGCCCCTCAAAGTATTCCTTCCACTGTCCGAGTATAGCCCCAGTTGACGTTAGCAGCTCCCCATCCCCACTGTAAACGGTGTGAGCGAGTTGCTGCCTTCCTCTCCTGAGGCGCCGGACAGTTTGCCAGAACCTCTTTGGAGCCGATCGATAGTCTTTCTCCATGGCCTCACCAAACTCCTTCCACGCCCGAGATTTTGCCTCGGCAACTGCCACTGCTGCACCCCGCTTGGCTATCCGGTACCTGTCTGCTGCCTCCAGAGACCCACAGACAATCCACACCCTGTAGACCTCCTTCTTCAGCCTGACGGCTTCCTGAACCTCTGGTGTCCACCAGCAGGAACGGGGGTTGTCACCACGACTGGCACCAGCCACCTTGCGACCCCAGCTAGCAACAGCCGCCTCAACAATCGCAGAGTGGAACAAGGCCCACTCAGAGTCAATGTCCCCCACTGCTCTCGGGACGCGGTCAAAGCTGTGCCGGAGGTGGGAGTTGAAGACCATCTTGACAGGTTCTTCTGCCAGGCGTTGCCACCAGACCCTCACTATGCGTTTGGGTCTGCCAGGTCTACGCTGCATCTTCCCCTGCCATCTGATCCAACTCACCACCAGGTGGTGATCAGTTGACAGCTCCGCTCCTCTCTTCACTCGGGTGTCCAAAACATACAGCCGCAGGTCAGATGATACATGACTACAAAGTCTATCATCAACCTGCGACCTAGGCTGCCCTGGTACCAAGTGTACCGATGGGCATCCTTATGTTCGAACATGGTGTTCGTTATGGCCAAACTGCAGCTTACACAGAAGTCCAATAATGAAACACCTCTCGAGTTCAGATCAGACGGGGCCGTTCCTTCCAATCACACCCCTCCAGGTCATGTTGTCATTGCTCACGTGAGCATTGAAGTCCCCCAGCAGGACAATGGAGTTCCCTGATGGAGCACCATCTAGCACTCATCCCAGGGACTCCAAAAAGGGTGGGTACTCTGAACTGATCAAATCAAATCACTTTTATTGTCATGTCACATGTGCAGGTACACTGGTACAGTACATGCGAGTGAAATTCTTGTGTTCGAGCTTCACAGCAACAGAGTTGTGCAAAAATACAGTAACGTAAAAACAAGCAAAATATAAAAAATGGCTAATCTAAGTAATAATATGTATAGTATGTAAGGTATATACATTACTGAATGTGTGTGCTAGTATTTTATTTTTTTTATTTTTATTTTTTTTATATTTGGCCCATAAGCACAAACAACAGTCAGGACCCATTCCCCGACCCGAAGGCGTAGGGATGCTACCCTCTCGTCCCCCGGGGTAAACCCCAACACACAGGCAGAGAGTCTTGGGGCTAACAAAAAGCCAACTCCAGCCCTCCGCCTCTCACCCGGAGCAACTCCAGCAAAGGAGATTGTCCAACCCCTCTCAAGGACTTGGGTTCCAGAGCCATTGCTATGTGTCGAGGTGAGTCCGACTATCTAGCCAGTACCGCTTAACCTCTGCCACAAGCTCCTGCTCCTTCCCCGCCAGCGAGGTGACGTTCCATGTCCCAAAAACCAGTTTCCTTGTCCGGGGATCAGACCGCCAAGGCTCCCGCCTTGGTCTGCTACCCGTTCCACATTGCACCGGACACTTCATGTTCCTCCTGCGGGTGGTGGGTCCACAGTTGGATGAGCCCATGTATTCGGTTCGGGCTGGGCCCGGCCGGGCCCCATGGGCAAAAGCCCAGCCCTCAGGCACTTGCTCACGGTCCCCAACCCCAGGCCTGGCTCCAGGGTGGGACCCGGGATAACCCTCCAGGCCGGGTACTCCAACTCTTTGAATTTGCATCCATGAAAGTTCCTGTGAACCGTTCTTTGTCTCACCCTTCACCTAAGACCAATTTGTCATGGGAGACCCTACCAGGGGCACAAAGTGCCCCAGACAACATAGCTCCTAGGATCATTAGGGCACTCAAACTCCTCCACCATGATAAGGTGACTGTTCAAGGAGGAGTTTATGTTGAGTATTGTTTTTAATTAATTTAAATTTCTGTGGAGCACTTTGATTGGTTTTATACTGCTGTAAGGTGCTATACAAATAAAGCTGCCTTGCCATGCCTCACACTGCACCTGACGCCTTTGGCCCCTCCCACAAGTTGTGAGCCCATAAGAGGGACCCACATTTCCTCTTTGGGATGTGCTTGGCTGGGTTCCACAAGTGAAATCTCGATCACCAGGTGCTCACTGACGTGCCCCACCTCCAGATCTGGCTCCAGAGAGGGGCACCGGTGACCTGCGTTCGCTCGAGGGAACACTTTTCATTTGTATTGTTCAGCATAAGGGTTTGGGCTTCACTTTGTTTGATCCCTCACTTAGGACCTGCCTTTCATGGGCTACCCTACCAGAGGCATAAGGCCTCAGACAACTTGTCTCCTAGGATCATTTGGTCACTCAAACCCCTTCCCAGGGAGGGGCCATACAATACACAGGTATAAAATTAGGCAATCAAGATGGAACGGATAAAAGTTAAATAAACCTGATCATCATTTTAACTTTTACATCTTCTGTTATTGTGCCTCTCTTCTTGCACACGAGCCAAACTCTCAGGCACCACAGCCTGCGCTCCCAAGCTCTAGTCACCAGAACACAACCCGCTGCAACAAAATGAAAGCAGTGGTATACAAAATGGAAGGCCTGTAGTGTTTTTCCTTTTAACAGTACTTGTTTATAACTTTTTAGGGGGCGTTTGAGATTTTCTGGTTTTAATTAATCGTGCAACAGAAATTACTTGTCTAATTAGTCATTAGAGTAGTCAACTATCTGATAAAATAACCGCCCGAATGATCGGTTTAAAAATAATGGTTTACCCTAGCACAAACTATACCATCCATGATTTGCACATATTAAGGCATATTGAGCTTTGGGCTGCACCAAAGCGTGGGTTTGTTAAGAATGAGACTTATGCTTAATCACATTGTGCTTGTTCCCTAGGTAACCACCACGTTTGCAGAGACGACGTCAGGTCTGAACGTGAAGTCCAAGCAGTGGCTGTCTCTGGAGAGTAAACGGCAGCAAGCTCAATCTACGGTGATGGAGACGAACATAGAGTGGCAGCAGCTACATCAGCGTGTCCACATGTTTACAGCATGTGCTGTCATCAGCCTGCAGATGCTTCCTGACAAGCTCAACCCCTTGGTCCGGCCTCTGATGGAAGCCATCAAAAAAGAGGAAAACATCCTGATCCAGAGCTATGCTGCTTCTTTTATAGCCAAGCTTCTGCAGCAGTGTGCTGGTCGTTCACCATGCCCCAACCCCAAGATCATCAAAAACCTCTGTGCCTCGGCCTGTGTGGACCCTGCTGTCACACCCTCATCGTCGTGTCCTGTTCCCCCACCACAGGAAAATATCAAAGGTAACTACTCTGGATTCACAGAATATTTTTGGCCAATATTAATATCCGATATCACGGCCGATAACCCATATTTACAGATATTGTATATATTTCAATACACTTTCAACACAGCACAATATTCTGCTTCACTTAAACAACACATATTCTTTCACTGCATCACCATCACAGTCACATACCCTAACCAACACCACATGACCACGCCCACCACCCAGAAACACGCACGCAAACGGCAACAAGATAAACAAACATTGGTTTTTAACATTAGCGATGTTTTACTTATTGGACCCATTCTGATACGTCAGCCAAAGTTGGCCAACATGATATTGACCTGATCCCTACTAACGGCAGAATGGTTACTCTGCTGATATGATGGGTCTGATTGGTGAGTGACGTTTGAGCACCATTACTGACGACAGAAAATCAGCCCTGAAAAGGTGAATTGTTGAAAACCTCCCTGTTTTTCTGTCTGATGTTTTAAGGAGGCGTGTTGGAGAAGGATGGCGTCCACCACATAGTTGACAAAAGCCAAGGCATCATCACCCTGTACCGCCATCAGAAGGCTGCGTTTGCCATTACCAGTAAGAGGGGTCCGGCGCCCAGAGCCCCAAAGACCTCCACCACAGAACTTCCTCCAGGCAGCACAATGAGCACCGATAGCGATGAGGTACATGGACCACAAAGGCGCTTTTTGTAAATGTTTCCTCTTAACTAAAGGGCATGAGACAATATTTGTCTTTTTTTCTTTTTTTTTTTAGAGCAAGAGGCCACTTTTGGTTCAGCGGCGTGGAGCAGAGTTCACCTTAACAACCATCAGCAAACACTTTGGTGTGGACCTCACCAGGTGTCTACCATACCTGTGGGAGAACACCGTTGGGCCTTTAAAGTCAGTGGTGACAGAAAATCTATGCATCGGTGAGTTTGTGCTTTGCACTCGCCGTTAGGACCCAGGCATGTCCTGGGGTAACATGGAGGATGTGTAACACAGGTGGTAGGGCTGAATGATCTATTGTTTTTGAATCTGGTGATTACCTGGTCGTCAAAGCTGTGGCTGTTATTTTTCTGTTTTCACCCTTACATAGCTCTGCTGCTACTGCTGATATTAAACGTGACCATTTGTCACTGCCACGAATGTTCATTTTGTCTCTCAGCACCGTGGGTGAGTGACAGAGAGAGAGAGGTTCTTCAGCAACAGAACGAGATTTATCATAACACCTAGTTGACGCTCAACTTCTCTTCTTTTAAAACGCTGTTTGTGAAAACATGTCAGACATTAATGGCGTGTTTTAAAATGGCCTGAAAAGCACATGTCCTCTGTATTAAACCCGCACCTCTGCTCACCGGTGGTACGTCAGTATTCTAGCTGGTTGTTGAATTGATTTCCCTGCTGCTCCGCTCAAGTGGCAAAAACGCACACGCTCAATAGATGGGTTTCATATGATGCTGCATCTACTTCGCCAAATGCAGATGGGGGTCCAGAAGTAGCCGGCGCTGCACAAAGCTCTATTTACTTTGGTGACTGGGTGTTAAAATGCTGAAATTCTATGTGGCACATGTGGATCAGTAATCTACAGCTTAAATCAGGAGCTGAAACGTACAAAGCTGGAGTTTAGGGATCAATTTTCAACAGGTAAGAGATTACTGAGGCTTTTATTAAACAGTTGCTTAGAAACGGCCTGAATAACCACAGGTTAACAGTTTTATACGGTTTTCACTTGTCCTCACTGCGAATAGCTTTGTGCTAATGTTTTAGCAGAAACAAAAAAGGGAGGGGCCGGAGCTCTCTGTTCAATTTTATAATTTATCAGGTGCAAGAAAAAAAACAAACGTTTTGACAGAACGTCTTCGTCAGAGATACAGGCCTTCATATACAGTGGGGCAAAAAAGTATTTAGTCAGCCACCGATTGTGCAAGTTCTCCCACTTAAAATGCTGACAGAGGTCAGTAATTTACATCATAGGTACACTTCAACTGTGACAGAATGTGAAAAAAAATCCATGAATTCACATGGCAGGATTTTTAAAGAATTTATTTGTAAATCAGGGTGGAAAATAAGTATTTGGTCACTTCAAACAAGGAAAATCTCTCTCGGTGTCTCATACTGAGGTTCTGGTTTCTTTGTCTTGAATTGGATGTCAAATCAAGTGAAAATGAACAGATAGGTTCTCAATCTATAATTTGTGAAATTAACACACTGTACTGACAGATATACACCACTGACAAATATTATCAGTAGAGGCCCTAGCACAGAACCTTGTGGGACACCATAGACAAGGGAGGTGGAGGAGGACTGAAAGTTGGAGAGACGGAACACTCAGACAAGAGGAGAACCACTCCAGAGCTGTTCCTAAGAGGCCTACCCAGGAGAGTTAAGAACTGTAAGCTAGTTTAAGCAGTCTTTCCCGAGTCGTTATTCACTGAGCGAGTTTTGGTATTAAGTTTATTCACAACGAACCCCCTGCTCTCATGGAGACCGGTGAGACGCCTTCATCAGCAGCGCCTCCCGTTCTCAGGCTCTTCTGCATTTTTCATTCCTAAACTTGAAAGGATGTCCAGACAGACCTCTGAATCCTTCTTTCAGCATTTCTCCTCAGGAACATCAACTCACCACACTCACCTCTGCTGACTCGGTGACGTAGGAAGCAAATTTAATGCGACATGACCGTTCAGACTGCAGTCGCTTTTAAAATCATCAGATGCATATCGGAACAAGTTCCACGTAAGAAAGTGACCTGGATCTGTGCTGTTCAGATTAGGGCTGTCGCGGTAACCGCAAAAATGAAATATCGCAATATGAAGAAGCCCACCGTGCTGCATCATGGGCCACCGCGATTACTGAACTTGGTTCAACTCAATGATGCATGTTGAGAAGGATGGCTGCACTGGTATCAAAAAAGAAACGTTACTTCGCTCCTTTGGGAGCACTTTGGTTTTCAGTACGTCAGCTGCTGCGCAGCCAGAGTCCTTGGCCGAGACAGAGCTGCCACCAGCGGCAAAAATAAATAATTAAATGCTCGGAGACCTGCTGAAGTCCCGGACAAGCACTGCTTCTGCAACCGTCCTGAAGAGAGTTTCAGCTGAGCTGGAGCTCACTCGCTACCTGCAGGAGGAATGCATCCACCCTAAAGAACCCCCCCGACATGGTGGAGCAACAACCGGGAGAGATTCCCTTTGCTCGCCAGAGTCGCACGCAAGTACGTGTGCGTTAGTGCAACGAGCGCACCATCCGAGAGGGTTTTCAGTGTTGCTGGAAATGTTGCCACCCCTCTCAGATCCTCTCTCAAACCGTATATGGTTAACATGCTGGTTTTCCTTGTGGGTAACAAGGATGTGACCAAGCTATAAATCACCGTCATTCGTGTGTGAAAGTGAAATGATAGTGCGCCCGCCCCCCGGCGCGCGCGCGCCCGGTACATGTAATTTTTTATGCTTGATTTTAAACAACTAAACAAAATGGGGACTTGTTTATTATTTGTTAGATGCTGCAGCCAAATTTGCAATTAAAAGTTTAACCTTCTCCTGAATTTTGTTGTTTTTAAGTTCAGTCGGACTCCGACTGTCGGAGAAACAAACGTTACTGCGATCTGTGTTGTTACTGCCCTTTGATCTGCATTCAGTAAAGCGTTATAAAAGAAGGCACGGCAATTTTTAACCTTTTTTAAATGTGTAAACATTATGTTTAGATAGTACTGCAATAAAAAAAGGGCCGCAATAATATCGCACACCGCAATATTAAGCCACCCTGAATCACTGCAGGGGGAATTCCTCAACCGCGACAGCCCTAGTTCAGATTTAGAAAAGTACTCTACATAGAGTTCATCTCCTTGAATACATTTAAAACCAGACTGATAGCCCTTGAGGTGGATTCCCTGTGTTGTAACTGCCTTCTGTAATTTAGTACATTACATGTCTGCGTAACTAACTTTTGCTGCCTCTTGGCCAGGACTCCCTTGAAAATGAGGTATTTAATCTCAATGGGACCTTCCTGGTTAAATAATGAATAAATAAAAGGATTAAACACAAGGACTGCACCTTGGTTGTGCATCACTTTCCCCTTTTTTCTTCTTTATCTATGTTGAAGTTATTTATTTAGATATGAGAATCGGCCTCTGTAGATGGATTTCTCTGAATTGTTGCTTCTTTGTCGTCTTTTCTAGACAGACAGGTCCAGCTGGAGAGGGGCGATCTAGCAGCTCAGGAACTGGTCAACTCTCTGCAAGTTCTGGAAGTCATGGCAGGAGCCATGGCTGCTGAGCTCAGGCCACTGGTGAGAATAACACGGATTTAAAACTGCCCAGCCATCTAATAGAACCATGTTTACCATAACAACTGCAATTTCCATCATCTGTTTTTCCAATATGGAGCTGCCCTATTTAAGTTTTTTCCAACCCTACGATAATGAATACAGGAATTTATCAATGACTTAATGCCATCTGGTTCTCAGTTAATACCACTGGTGCTTAACATACTTCGATTGGTGAATTACATATTTCTGGGTCCCAGCAGTGTGTTTTTTCCAGAATGAAAAAATTACAACAGAGACTGTAAAGGTTTTTGCACAGCAGCCACAAGGTAACAAAAGTTTTTAGTCTTGCATTTAAATTAAGGCCCTAAAAAGTCTTAATTCTGTAGCTCAAGTCTTATTTTTTAGTAAAGGCCTTACATCATATTACATTTTATTTTCCTATTTATGTGTTAGAAATATTTGTAAATTACACAAAGTCAACGGCTGTAAAATTGAACAGGTTTATCTTGGTGTATGTTCTGTTGCCTAGCAACCACGACGCTACAAAGCTGAAGTTAAAACTACATTTAGAGCCATACGAGCTGCCTCTGTCCCTAGTGAGAAGATATTCTTTTACAGCCGGAGACCTAATCGTTAGCAGATTTGTCTTTTAAGTAGACCGGTTAACTCATTCACTGCCAGCTGTTTTTACTGGTTTTTGAAGAGTCACCATGTAAACACCAAAACTACCCAAAGAAAGAGTAGACTCACCTCTTCCATCAGGAAGAAGCTATTTCCGTTCTTTTGCAATTTGTTTTCCGTGTGAGCTGCAGAAGATTTTCCTGTTTGGCCTCGCTTTAGGCATAGTGGCGTTCCAAAACAATCTCCTAATTTGCTGGTGAAGGTTCCCAGGCTTCCAGGTCATGGTAATTCTAAAGGGTTCCGATGAAGGCAACTGGACTTGGGTTTCTTGAAGACGTTCCGCTTCTCATCCAGGGAGCTTTGTCAATTGTGACAGGAATACGGGAGAGTCACACTTATAAGGACTGCTGTAAAGACTCTGACACTAGTCAGTGGCTCGATGCAACCTGCTGGGTTCCTTATATAGGAAACTTTTTATTGATTGGCTTAATGACCTGACCTGTATTGGAATGTTTACTGTGTGAAGGTCCTTGAGACGACTCTGGTCCTGATTTGGTGTTTTATAAATAAACTTGAATTGAATAAACTGTAACTGTCTGTAGTTGTACCAGCTCAGTGGTCTAGTGGTAGAGTGTCCGCCTTGAGACTGGGAGATCAGGGTTCGATTCCTGGTCGGGTCATACCAAAGACTTTGAAAAAAATGGGACCCAATGCCTCCCTGCTTGACACTCAGCATTAAGGGGTTGGATTGGGGGGTTAAACCACCAAATGGTTCCTGAGTGCAGCTGTGTCTGCAGCTCACCGCTCCCCCAGGGGATGGGTCAAATGCGGAGAACAAATTTCGCACACACATCAGTGTGTGTGACAACTAATGGGACTTTAACTTTAACTTTAGTTGCTTAACGAGCAGAAACGCACTCTGAATACTCCCTCCTCTCTATCCACTGAAGAGTCGTTGGCCTCTTTTGTGACGGGTCATTGTGTTTAGGTACAGGTGTGACCTAGACCAGGGGTGGGGGAACCCTGGTCCATTGAGGGCCGCTATCCAGCATATTTTAGTTTCAACCCTGCTTCAACACACCTGATTTCAATTAGCAGGTGATTAACTGCTTCTGTAGAGCTTGATGAGCTTCTGAACAGGTGAATCAACCATTGAATCAGAAGTGTTAAAGCAGAGATGTGCAGGACACCGGCCCTTGAGGACCAGGCTACCCCACACCTGACCTAGACTGAAGCTGTTTGGGGATCAGGTTCAGAGCCGCATTATGGGTGCTGGAAAGGTGAACCCTGAGTCCTCCCCCCTTAAGATAGCTTCCTTTACTCTTCTCTCAAACCATCCATCTTCTCTGTCCAGAATGTGTATTTTGTCATCTTCAAAAGTGTCTTTTTTTTTTGTTACCAAGCAATCAGAATTGATGTCTGAATGCTGAAGTTAGGGTTAAAAACAACAGTTAGGGTTAGGGTTAGAACACGGTAAGAATTCATAGTGCATTAAGTGCCAAACACAGCCTTAGGCTCCCAATGGCCGTGGGCATTTTTAACACACGACCTAAGTCACCATGGAGGAATGAATTCCCTAACAACTGAAGTGAAATTGCAGGGTGGCAGAGAGAAAATAAAGAAAGAATAGGACTACAATAAACCATCAAATATATAGAGAACTGCTTAAATCAGTGGTCCTCAATAGGCGGCCTGCGGGCCCCCTCTTTGTGGCCCTTGAACCCCATGCGCAGGATGGATGGGGCTGGGAGCTTCTGGGTCTTTTTTTGGAGTGGCCCTTGGCCCATTATAATTGAGGACCCCGGCTCAAAACATACAATGAGGCACTAAGAAAATTGAGAAATGCATACTTCTCCAAAATCATCTCAGATCACAATGTTATAATAATAATCTCAAAATGCTATTTTCCACAACTAACAGCATCAGAGCCGTGCAGAGACCTTTGAAGGGACGGCTGCTGCAAGTTTAAAAAAAAGGGGGGGGGGGGGGGGGGGGGGTACCAGTAGAGCAAAGTTGTTAAACAGATTCATGATCCAACAAGTTAAAAAATTCAGATAATGAGACCCTTGGTTTCAAACAACATAATGTATACTAGGAAAAATGTCATTAATTAAGGTAACATTATTTCATAAACAATTGTTTTAGTTTTTAGAGCTGACTTATGTTACAATCATGTTTTTGCCCCTGACATGAATCAGAGTTGTTTGATTTTTGATTGTCTTCCTGAGTCCTGTTTTGATACCAGGTGGTGATGCAATGCATTAAAAAAGAAAAAAATGGAGAAAGTCCCATAGTCATCATCACATACTGGTGATCTCATTGGAGGGCAGTGTTGAGATGCAGCAATGGCTGTGCTCGGGAACTATTTGGTTTTTTAACCCCCAGTCCAACCCCTTACAGCTGAGTGTCAAGCAGAGAGGCATTGGGACCCATTTTTAAAGTCTTTGGTATGACCTGACTGAGAATCAAACCTGATCTCAGTCCCAGGGAGGACACAACCACTAGACCACTGAGCTGGTCCCAAATTGTCCTATCTGTTTTCAAGACCAGGCTTTTAAGTGATTATTCTTTTTCATAGTCCGTTTTTATTGAATGCATAGTTTTAACCCTAACCCTCCGTGGGTACCCTCTGCCTCGGGAGCAGCGGTCAGTGGTGGCGGCCTCTCTGCTCTTATGGGTAGCCCCTGGGTGGAGGTGGAGGTGTCAGACCTAACTCCTTTGGGCACCCAGTGTCGGCACAAAGGGTGCTGCATTCGGGTTAGATGGCTCTCCTGGTGGTGTCTCCTTATCCTATCTGGCACATCTGGGTTCAGCTGAGCGTTGTGTTAAATGCATATGTTTGAGAGGGGGGCTTGGGGAAGGGGGCAATATTTAGTTTTATTGCTTTTATCTTTTAGGAGAAATTTATATGAAAGAGAGGTCACTTTGTTCTGTAAAGCACTTTGAGTCACATTTTATGTATGAAAAGCACTTTATAAATAAAGTTTTGATTGATTGAAACCTCAGACATGCTGAATGTCCAACTCACCGTTCAAAGCCTCATATCACTGACAGAACAGAATAATCTAGACTAAAACCATGTTTTTATGACCACAAGGGTCCAATTAATGTTTTCCAATAAGAACAGTCAACACGTCTGATGTCCACGGTCCGACTTAAAAAAACACTGAAAACCTTTCATCAGAACATCTGTTAACTTTTACAGCAGCGACCCTGATGTGTGAGCATTTCATCCACTTCTTACCTGGCCCAATAAGTGAAGATCCCGGCCAGGTAAACTACGGTCAAATAGCCAATGAAATTCAGAGAACAGTTAAACTCCTCCCCCCGTTAAAGAGAGTCAGAACGATTGTGATTGGTGGATGGCTGCGTGTCAGGTACCTTTAACATCAGATGAGCTGCATTGCAGCGGGATGTTCGACACTTAAGTATGTTGTGATGTCGATGCTCAAAAAGAACATTGTGTAGTTCTAGTGTTTAAAAGCAAATGTTTAAACAAGCTGGTCCTGTTTTTCTTTGTCACTAGTTACTGGAACACCTACCTCATCTTTTCACCTGCCTACAGCACCCGTACACAGCAGTTCGGCACATGGCAGCACGCTGTGTGGGTGTGCTGAGTAAGATGGCCACCCTGGAGACCATGAACAGCTTCCTAGAGTGTGTGCTCCATTGGTTAGCTGCTATTGACGACCGCACCAAACAGGAGGGCTCCATCGAGGCTTTAGCATGTATCCTTCAGTTACAACTGTCCGTTTTAAAGGCAGGAAATGAATCATTTTACCCAAGTTTGTCACTGACTTAAGCTAAATAGCTCATAAACAGCTACATGTTAAGCAAAGTCACATTTTACTCTGTGATCGGCACAAATTAAAATTTAAAGAAAGCTAAATGTACATGAAGTGATAGATTATTTTGTTCTTTTACTAACATTTAACTTGCATTTAATTTAGAAATATAAGTCTGATGTTCTTTACTCAGGACATCATTTATGTACATTTCTAATCAATAATGATACATTTCATGGTTTTTCTTGGATTGTGACACCGTAGTGTCCTTGACCACATGTTTCCAGGTGTCATGGAGCAGCTGGATGTGGACATTGTCCCCTACATCGTGCTGCTGGTGGTTCCTGTGTTGGGTCGAATGAGCGACCCTAGTGACAGCATCCGTTTCATGGCCACTCAGTGCTTTGCTACGCTGATCCGCCTGCTGCCGCTGGAGGTAAAACCTCTGCTTATATCTTAGAAAATGTGTTTTTAGAGCTAAAACATACAACCCCATTCCATTAATCCATCTAATGGATCTGTTCTTTAACATTCTGAGACTTTAACATCAGTTATTGATGGGTTTGATAAACGACTCCTTGCTGCTTCCTGCTCTAATTTCAGCAGTTTTGCCACATTTAGTTTTGTTGCTTCATGTCAAAGGATTTATTCATGTGTCCAGAGCAGCTGTGGATATGATGTAGCTCATAAGGGTGGGCAAAATACAGATTTGGTGAAATATTGCAAGTTTCTACTCACAAATGAGCCTAAAGTTTTTAAGCTGACTTTGGATTAGTAGGGTGGATGGAAGCTACGTTGATGACACATTCCATCTACATGTATATCTGTACGGCTCTTTGCTCATGCAGCACTGTTGAAAACGACAGATTTTGCTTTATGATGTGCATCCGCTTAGACTACTGCAACTCTCTTTTCACGTGTCTGAGCAGAACCTCCCAGCAGGTTCAGAAGGCCTGTGCTCGGCTTCTGACCAAGTCCTCCAAACACACCCACATCACCCCGCTTCTCCTCCAGCTTCACTGGCTGCCAGTCAACTTCAGGGTTCATTTCAAGACCCTGGTTCTGGTCTACAGGGCCTTACATGGACAAGCACCATCTTACATTGGTGATCTTCTCAGTCCCTACACCCCCAGCAGGTCCCTGAGGTCCAGTGACCAAAGCCTACTGGTACTGCAAAACCAGGCTAAAGGTCAAAGGTGATAGGTCATCTGCTACTGTGGCTCCCAGACTCTGAACCTCTCTCCCCCTGAGCCTGAGATCAGTGGACTCAGTGGTCTCCTTTAAACTCACCTGTTCATGTTTGGTGGGACCTTCATCACCACCCTCTCCTGGTTCTGCTCTTATTCCACTTTTCCCAGGATTCACTGATTTCCCTCTTTCCTATTCTCTCTCTTTCTTTGCATTTTAATCACAATTGTCTATTTTTGCTTATTTTTAATTATATTTTTAATCATTTTCTTAAGTCTTACTATATTTTACATTTTTTATTTTTGTGAAGCGCCTCATGATTATCTTGAGAGGTGCTATAGAAAAGATAGTTTTCTTTCTTTCATCCTTTAATTCAGATAAGTCATGGTTAGGGTTAGATTTCCAGCCATTTATGAAGAGACCAGGATTAAAAGAGAGATGTCATTGCTGTCTGCGGAAAGAAGCGGGCTTTTTATGTAAAAATACATGAACACTGAGGCTTCTTGACTGCAAAAACATTTGCCTTCAGCATATTTTTACACACTTAACCACAACATTTATTTGACTATATTTGATTAGGTAGCTGTGTTCTGTTTCCTCCATGCATGACGCTCCTTGTTCTGCCCAAATAACTCTAGTTTCAGCAGTTCACAGCACCTAATTCCAGAATGAAGCTGGCTTGTCCAGATGTGCTTTAGCAAACCTCAAGCTGTTCTGTTTGTGCTGTGGGCGTAGAAAAGGCTTCCTCTGCATCACACTCACATAACGCATGTCTTTGTGTAAAGTGCGCTGAATAGTTGTTGGGGGGCACCCTCCTCCTTATCTAGTGTTTTTAACAAGTTTCCACTACGTGATGAGATGTACAGGGATCCCCCAGCTTACCTTGTCCACAGTCTCCCTCCACCAAATCTTTAAACAAAAGCAGCTCCAGAACACAGGTGGGTTAATCAAGCAGCGGCATGTGGGAGGAAGAGTCTCTGCTCTTCAGGGAAGCCTCCTTTTATCCTCTGCGCTGCTCCACAATTGTTCCAAGGGGAAAGTAATCAGCCAATTCAGGGCCTCCGCACCTAGTCTCTGCACCCTGTGTAAAAAAGGGACAGGGAGAAGGGAGAGAGAGGATAAACAAAGGGAGAAACGCATACCCTGCCTGACTGGCATGTAACACCCAGATGTTCCTTGGTCTGCCACTTGGAGCCTTAACTTGAACTGTGCCTGTGGTCTTCCATTTCCTCAGTATGTTCCTAACTGTGGAACCAGACATCTGAGATCTCTGAGACAGCTTTCTGTACCCTTCTCTAAACCGTGATGGTGAACAATCTTTGTTTTCAGCTCATGTGAGAGTTGTTTGAGACCCCGTGTAGCTGCTCTGGAGACTCTATTCAAAGAAGAGGGAAACTTGAAAATGGCCACCTTAAATCATAACTGGATTCACCTGTGTATGGAGGTCAAGGGTCACTGAGCTTACCACACCCATTTTGAGTTCCAATAATTAGTTCTTAAAGGGACTTTACGGAGTTTTGAAATTTTATGCTCGCGATTGCCCCCTCAGGCCAAAGGTGTAACTGCAGCTTCAATAGTAGGCTCGTGCACGAGGTGCGCGTGCTGCATGTGCACGCTCCTGAACAAAAACAACAGCTGAGTCAGTTTGCTGGCATGACTTCGACGGAGGTAATAATTTCTTAGGTGTGTTCATGCTGTGTCGTGGTTCTAATTCCATGCTGCCGTTCTTTTTAAAACACAAACGGTTTCGTTACCTGTTTTTTCGCTACGTTTCGTCTGCGGCTGCAAACTTCCTCGGGCTTCCTTCTCCGTTTATCCGCGAGCAGCAGAGGACGTTGTCGCCCTCTGCTGCTCGCTCTCCCTTTTCCGACGATGCAGTCCCATGTGCGGTCCAACGTGTAAACTCCATCGTCCCCGTTCATGGTCGCACATCCTTATCTCGATTGCTTCTTTAATCCGTCTTATGTATTTTTGTTGTTCGGTGTTTATGATCCTTGTGTTGTCCCAGTCCATTATATGGTTTTCTCTTGTGCAGTGATCTGTTATGGCTGACTTCTTTATTGTGCTTTCTGCTTCTTCTTTTGCTGCTCTTGTGCTCTTGTGTGTTTTCTACTTGCCTCTTTCTCGCACTCCATTCTATGTTCTATTGTTCGTGTGTTGAGTTGGCGTCCGGTTTCTCCTATGTATGTTTTATTGCAAAGTTTGCATGGGATTTCGTAAATGACTCCACATTTAAGTCCAGCTGGTATCTTGTCTTTTGGCTGTACTAGTCTGTTTCTAACTGTTGTGTATGGTTTCGTTGGTGTGTTTATGTTGTGTTTTTTCATTGTTGCTCTTATTTTTTCTGTTATGCCTCTGATGTATGGTAAGGTTATCACTGTTTAAAATTTGTTTTGTTGAATTAAAACAACAACGAAAAACTTCCGTGTAGCGTCTGTCTAATTATCTCGTGTTATGGCCAAACATGCGCTGTGTGCTAGAGACCTGCATTTGGCTGCTGCGCAGCAGCTTGTATTTGGGTGCGGGTGTGTAGAAAACCCTTTTTTTTTGCTGGTGCGGCTGGAAATAGGTACTCTGATGTGTAGACGCTAGACAAGCAGCCTATAAATGTTATGATATACAGAAACCCCCCAGCTTACTTTGAAAGCATGCACTGCCCTTTCCCCACATGTGTTTAGTAATAATTTCTTACCTTTCCAGCAAAAATGATGCCAGCTGCAGGTCTGTTTTCATACTGAGGGACTCTCTCAGCATTTTCCACTTCTCAAATGCCAGACCGATATTTATCCTCGTTCGTTGCCTTCTGCGATCACACTGAAGTTTTACTCGTTTTCCTGCGCTGGAATACACTCTTCTTGGTTTCTTTGTCTTGTTTGGGGTCTGGGCTGGAGTTCCGCTGGTGCTTCAAGCAGCTCTCTTCTTCTTTGCTGAATCCCTACTACCAAAACCACCTCTTGCTCTGCCGCTAAGCTATAGCTAGTAGACAAACGCTGCGGGGATATGCCTGAGTGTGAACGTGCATGACGTCATTGCGCATTACGCTGCCTCTGGAAGACCCGGGGGAAGCCTGCCTGCTCGACCCGAGCATGATCTTATTTTTGATTTTACAGGCCTAAAGAGACAATCACAGTAAAAATGCCAGGGCTCATTCTACAGGACCAGGGCATTACAGGAGAATGTATGAAGAAGACATTTATTATTTCTATACATGTTTTGGCCGTCAAACTTCCATAATGCCCTTTTAAAGGTTTGGAATCAATAAAATGACAGCAGTGCCCAGGTGAATGCACCTGCCTTACTTTGTTTAAACCATTACTGCACACTTCATGTAAATCCTATAAACTCTGTCACTTCTCAAACATCACTGTGTGTGTCTCCTATGAGATTTTTAACTGACTTGTTTTATCGTAACAACAGGAAAATCATGACGATTAACAAGGCTGCCCAAACGTTTGCATCTTGTTCTATATAAATATTCCCTCAACAAATAGATTTGAAATGTTCTCTTCCTTTTGACAGGCAGGTATTCCAGACCCCCCCACGATGTCTGCTGACCTGATTCAGCAGAAAGCAAGGGAGCGTCAGTTCTTGGAGCAGCTGCTGGATGGCAGAAAGTTGGAAAATTATAAGATTCCTGTTCCAATTAAAGCAGAGCTAAGGAAATACCAGCAGGTGTGCCTGAACTGGGAACATTTCTGCTTCAGTCAGGAAAACCTGAATGAACTTCTATTGTAAATCTCTAATCTTTCTCCTTTGGATGAAATGCCATGACCTTAATCACTTGAATCATTCTTGTATTACTTGCAGGATGGAGTAAACTGGCTGGCTTTCTTGAACAAATACAAGCTTCACGGGATTCTGTGCGATGACATGGGTCTGGGAAAGACGCTGCAGTCCATCTGCATCCTGGCAGGAGATCATTACCTCCGGTACAGATTCCCAGCATCTCCTGGTCTTTTTGTGTTTTTGATTCAGTTTCGCTGCTGTTACCATAGATACAACATTGCAGAAGTGGCTTCTATGTTGGAAGTAACGTTTATTGTGATTTAATTGTTTGATGTTTTCATCACATGAAACATGGACAATAACGACTATCCTACTGCTGTGAGTTTATTTCTTTGTAAACTTTATACCTGATTATTGCCTTCCTGAGTAACCTCTGTTCAGAAAAATGGAGGTCTGACATGACACGCTTATAATTTCAGACTAACAGTTAGCTCATCAGTCCTGACAGGAGGTGGTGAAAAAATTCTTGGAGGGTTCTATGAGAGAAAGATTTCCCTTTTTAGTCCATTAGTAATGAATGAACTGTTGGAAAATAACTACAAGTCCAAAACAATCATTCATTTCTCTCATCCAAATCAGCAAACTCACTAGGGATGCAGGGTTTCCCCCAGTGCTGTATAAGCCTGGCAGCCCGCCAGGCTTTGCTTGGCCACCTGCCAGGCTAAGCGTCATGCCCCTCCCCGACCCTACCGTGTCCGCTGACACCAACGGCACAACGAAACTAGAGCCCTCCATTAGCTGATACTGGTGAGAAACAGCAGCAGAGCTGCCAACTCTCACGCACTGAGCGTGAGAAACGCATTTGACCCTCTTCACACGCTCTCACGCCACACCTCCAATCTCACGCTAAACCAGCGCCTGCGCTCCCCAAACACTCATCACGCACAGTGCGTAGGGCTTATGAAAAATAAAAACAGATTATATTAATATAGTTTAGTTTAGTTTAGTTTATTTGTCATATGCAAGTTAGCACAGGGTCAACATTGCAATGAAATGTGTTTGACGAGCAGCAGCCTCTCAGCAGTATAATACAATAGAAAAAAGAACGAGGTATAATACAGTAAAAGCAAAATATTAGAGAGTCATGCTAAAAGTAAAAGCTTACTAAATAGATAAGTAAGTATGGATGACTAAATATAAATATATCTAAAAAAAGTGAGTAGTAACATTAAAATGAAGTAACCAGTGCAGGTTAAATTTTACTTGTGGTGCTGCAGGGTAACATCTGTATCCTGTGTTGTGTGTGTTTAAGTGTGTGTTTAAGTGTAATGGTTGAGGTGTCGTATGGCTTGGTGGTAGAAACCGTTTTTAAGTCTCGTAGTCCGAGCAGGCAGACTCCTGTAACGCCTGCCAGATGGTAACGAGGAGAACAGCTGATGCGCTGGGTGGCAGTGGTCCTTGATGATGCTGTGTGCTTTCCGGAGGCATCGCTGGAGATAAATGTCCTGAATGGCAGGAAGCCTTGTGCCAGTGATGTGCTCTGCTGCTTTCACCACCCTCTGTAGTGATTTACGGCTGCTGGCAGAGCAGCTTCCATACCAAACTGTGATGCAGCTCGACAGCAAGCTCTCAATAGCACACCTGTAGAACTTTGAGATGATACTCGTGTTCATGCCAAACTTCCTTAGCCTCCCGAGGAAGTAAAGCCGCTGGCGAGCTTTCTTGATAACAGCATCTGTGTGGAGGGTCCAGGAGAAGTCCTCAGTGATGTTGACTCCAAGGAACTTGAAGCTGCTGACCCTTTCGACCATGACACCGTTGATGTGGATGGGTTGGTGTTCCCTGACTGGTCGTTTCCGGGAGTCCACTATCATTTCTTTGGTTTTGCTGATGTTGAGAGACAGGTTATTATCCAGGCACCACTCGTGCAATGCCGTCACTTCCTCTCTATAGGCCGTCTCATCATTCCCTGTGATGAGGCCTATGATGGTCGTATCATCCGCAAACTTGATGACGATGTTGGACTCATGTTTTGCAACACAGTCGTGTGTGAACAGGGAATATAGGAGGGGGCTAAGCACACAACCCTGGGGCGTACCTGTGTTTAGGATGAGTGATGAGGAAGTGTGTTTACCCACTCTCACCACCTGGGACCTGTTTGTAAGGAAGTTTAGAATCCATCTGCAGATCGGTGTTCCCAGCCCAAGGTCGACAAGCTTCGTGGCAAGTTTTGAGGGTATAATGGTGTTAAATGCCGAGCTGTAGTCGATGAAGAGCATTCTTGCACATGTATTCCCTTTCTCCAGGTGAGTGAGGGTGGTATGTGTTGCTAGTGCGATGGCATCCTCTGTGGCTCTGTTTATCCTATAGGCAAACTGAAGAGGGTCCAGTGTGTCAGGGAGAGAGGAGCAGATGTGACATTTGACCAGCCGCTCCAGGCACTTCATGATGACTGATGTCAGCGCCACAGGACGGTAGTCATTCAGACAGGAGACCACTGATTTCTGGGAAACAGGAATGATGGTGGATGCTTTGAGAGCCGTGGGGACCACCGACTGCCTCAGGGAGAGGTTGAAGATGTTGGTAAAAACCTCTGCCAGCTCGTCTGCACACACTCTGAGTAGCCGGCCTGGGATGCCGTCCGGTCCTGGAGCTTTGTGAGGATTGACCTTTTTAAAGGTCCATCTCACAGCCTCTGTTTTCAGAGTTAAGGTTACAGCCCCACTGTCCTCCTGAGGGTAGAGGATCTGCTCTCTGTTATCTTCATCGAAACGAGCATAAAAGTTGTTGAGCTCGTCTGCGAGAGATGCAGTGGGCTGAACACCAACTGTGCTGACCTTCTTGTAATCAGTGATGCAGCGCAGTCCATTCCACAGTCGCCTGGTGTCGAAGCTGTGGTAGCTGGACTCCGTTTTGTCTCTGTAGTCCTTCTTGGCCTTTTTTATGGACTTCCGGAGGTCATACCTGGCTGCTTTATATGCATCAGCATCCCCGGAATTAAAGGCAGAGGTCCGCACTTTTAACTTGGCGCGAACGTCTTTGTTCACCCAGGGTTTCTGATTTGGATATATGCGGACAGTGGTTTTTGTGATGATTTCATCCATGCTCTTCCCAATATATCCAATGACAGAGTCCGTGAGTTCATTGATGTTACCATCAGCTGCATCCACAAATATCTGCCAGTCAGTTGTCTCAAAGCAGTCCTGCAGGACCCCCTCAACCTCGCTGTCCCATTTGTGAACAACCCTGGAAGCTGGTTTTTCCTGTTTTAGCCTTTGTCTGTATGCAGGCAGCAGCAGAATGGAACAGTGGTCTGCCTTACCAAAAGCTGGGCGGGGGAGGGGTTTGTAACACTCTTTGAAAGGAGTGTAACAATGGTCCAAAGTTTGATCACCTCTTGTGGGAAAGGAGATGTGCTGATAGTACTTAAGCCGGGCGTACACTGTGCGACTTTTTCACTCGCAGCGTTCAGCTTCAGCTCAAACTGTACGACTTCCTCACAGGGCAGATCTCACGAGTCATGTGCTCACACTGCACGACCCAGTTCTCGCATGCGACCTGACTGCTCACACTGTACGTCTGGTAGCAACACGTCGGCCCTAAAAATGTGCTAAAAATAGCAGTTTTTACTCAACACGTCAGACTTTTTTGTCTTGTTTTGCCTGTTGTCCTTCGGGAGTGCTGCAGGAGGACACACAGGGATTTATGGGGGTTGGATTAGGAAAACGAAATAAAGAAAGTGAATCTGTGTTTTGTGATCAGTTTAATTTGACATGAACACGACAAACACGCTTTCTTGACAATCTTTGTGAGTAAAAAAAACGTGTAGAAACAAAAACGAACAGCGTGTGTTATTAGGGAAATAGCGAGCGACCGGCGTTGATGCAGGATTGCGCGCGCATGCGCCGTGAGCGGTTCTGATACTTTTTTGGATCGTAGCTGCTCGCAGCACCGCTTCAACAGTGCGATACTATCGCGTCAGAACCGTGCCACAACCCGTGCACGCGCATTGGGTCCACAGCGCGCGTGTGAACGGGACTCGCGAGCGAAAATATACATGGCAGCGCGCGCGTGAACGGGACTCGCGAGCGAAAATATACATGGCGAGAGGTCATTTGTGCACTGAGAGGGAGCAAACTGTGTCTGTGAGCGCACAAGGATGTGCACAAGTGACAAACCTGCGTGCGCGCGTTGCCAACGAGCACACGGCAGAGGAAAACGTGCGCGCGCGGCAGACTCTCTGCGCGCTCGGTTTCTAATTCCGCTCGCTCGGCTGTGAGGGCTTTTGACACTCTGGAGGCGTGGCCTGTGGCAGATCTTCCCTGTCCTCAGATTGGTTAGTTCACCCCACACTTTACTCTCTACCTATCTATATAAAAAAAATCTGAGATTCAGCAGTTGCTGTCATAGCTCAGCTGCGAGAGCGGGTGACTCTCACTCTGGAGGATCCAGGTTCGAGTCCGGCCAAGGAACATAGAGTTGATGTCATATTATTCTTTCCTAATTCCTGTGATATTATTTTACAGTTGTGACCGTTCAACTGTCATTAAACGTCCGAATGTTTGCAGGGCAGTGTTTTAAAAAGTGCACATAAGCTAGATGGTTTTAACCAGGTAAAAATAGACTTGTGGGTGTAGGTATGCTCAAGTTTAAAAAGTTCTTGCCTCATTAATGAATTGTTTATTTTTTTCAGCATTTAACTGACAAATTATCCTTTCAAATAATTAATTCATGAGTTACATAACTGTCCATTTAGAATTGTTGAATGGACTGAGTCAAGTTTGGTGCACTTTATATATTTCAAAACATGTTTTTTTATTTTAATTATGCATATAAATAATTTTAATGTTAATTTATTGAAATATTTCTATTTTTTCATTACTTCACCCTTGTTTTGACAAAAACAAGACCTTGCTGGATAATATCACGGAGAAACTATTTGTTCACAGTACATGGCTCAGTGAGGATCTGTATACCAAAGGAGGAGATACTCAGAAATCTGTCTGCAGATTGTTACAACCCAGACTGGAAGTGGTGGGCTGTAATAAGAAAGGAGACCAAACAGAGGAGTGGGGGGTTCAACAACTGATTTATTTAACCAAAGTAAGTGAGGTCCCTGCTGAGGGACATCCGAGTAAAACCTTGAGATGGCCATTTTCTGTTCACTAACTTGCTTTAGTAAATCCTTACTTTTGTTAAATAAATCAGTTGTTGAACCCCCACTCCTCTGTTTGGTCTCCTTTCTTATTACAGCCCGCCACTTCCAGTCTGGGTTGTAACAATCTGCAGACAGATTTCTGAGTATCTCCTCCTTTGGTACACAGATCCTCACTGAGCCATGTACTGTGAACAAATAGTTTCTCCATGATGTTATCCAGCAAGGTCCCGTTTTTGTCAAAACAAGGGTGAGGTAATGAAAAAATAGAAATATTTCATTAAATTAACATTTAAATTATTTATATGCATCATTAAAATAAAAAAAAAACATGTTTTGAAATATATAAAGTGCACCAAACTCTACTCAGTCCATTCAACAATTCTAAATGGACAATTATGTAACTCATCAATTAATTATTTGAAAGGATAATTTGTCGATTAATTACTGAAAAAAATAAACAATTCATTAATGAGGCAAGAACTTTTCTTTCTCTCTCTCTCTCTCTCTCTCTTTCTCTCTGGAAGCCCCACTCTAAGGGAGTTTGCAGTGTATTAGTGAGTCATATATTGTACAACCACAGTCATAAAGTTTTCAATCAGTAGTTTTATTTCAGTATGTATTTTTCCAGTATCACAAAAAATGTAATTTTATATGGTTAAAACCATCTAGCTTATGTGCACTTTTTAAAACACTGCCCAGCAAACATTCGGACGTTTAATGACAGTTGAACGGTCACAACTGTAAAATACCTGAAATTAAGAAAAATTAACATGACATCTACTGAATTTTTCTTGCCCGGACTCGATCCTGGATCCTCCGGGGCGAGAGTCACCCGCTCTCCCAGCTGAGCTATGCCAGCAACTACTGAATAGCAGACTTTTTTATATAGATAGGTAGAGGGTAAAGTGTGGGGTAAACTAACCAATCAGAGGACAGAGAAGATCTGCCACAGGCCACGCCTCCAGAGTGCCAAAAGCCCTTACAGCCGAGCGCGCAGAGAGGCTGCCGAGCGCCCGCAGAGGCTGCCGAGCGCGCACGTTTTCCTCTGCCGTGTGCTCGTTGACAACGCGCGCACGCAGGTTTGTCACGTGCACATCCTTGTGCGCTCACAGACACAGTTTGCTCCCTCTCAGTGCACAAATGACCTCTCGCCATGTATATTTCCGCTCGCGAGTCCCGTTCACACGCGCGCTGCCATGTATATTTTCGCTCGCGAGTCCCGTTCACACGCGCGCTGTGGACCCAATGCGCGTGCACGGGTTGTGGCACACTTTAAACGCCATACGATACCCTCACGAGGGACGAGCGAAATATTAAACACACCAGAAGTCCCTGCGACCTCACGACTGCTGATCGGCGGCTGGTCACGTGGTGTTAATCGCCTCTCGTAACCCCCTGTACACTACACGACCGCTCGGCGCAAAACTCGCCCCGATGTCGTGGCTTCTCGCACGACTGGAAAATCGGCTCAAAAAAGTGAAAAAGTCGCACAGTGTACGCCCGGCTTTAGGGAGAACCTTCTTCATGTTGGCTCTATTGAAGTCTCCCAGCACAATAAAGGCAGCTTCTGGATTGATATTCTCAAGTCCAGTAATGATGTCATACAGTTCGTCCATAGCATTAGCTACTGAACAACAAGCACACAAACAACACTTACGTAATACTTTAACTGGCATTAATTCACACACATAATCCCATCGGTATAATCCAAGCAGATGTGCTTTGTTCTGCTCTGGTTGTGAGATGGGCGGAGCGGTGAGCTCCACCTGCTGTTGATGGGACGGGCATGCCCGGTTCCTCCAGAACCGTAAGCTGCAGCTGTGCACGCCGCCAAAATGACATGCTTTATTTAGAAATGCAGCCGCGTCGCCAGCCGTTGACAGAGCTTCAGTCCCGAATGTTTCTCTTTTGTTTTCACTCATCAGCCACAGATTGCTACTCACGCTCACAGCAAGCTGGGCTTCCTACCGTGGTGGCTCACTCACACGTTCCCTCTCCTACATTAGTTGGTGACGCAGTGAATGAAAACATTACGAATCTTAATGTTTTAATTCACCACTTCACCAGTGTGTTTTTCCTGTTTGTGAGGAAGCCCTCCTCCATAACCAGGTACGAAATGGTACGAAAGCCTGGAAGGGCCAAAACTCCTCAAACTTTTTTTCTACTGCTGATATGAATTACATATGATGGAACAAAGTAAATTTTTTTAGACCCACAGGGGGGAAATTACACAGCAGCGCACACACAGATTACAGGTAAAACTGATTCCAGCCATGTTTTCTTTGATAACTTCTATAACTTAATGCTGATGACCCACATGAACATAATCCTCTGTTTAATGGATGCAACTACATCAATGAAGTTAGCTTAACATGACAGATTTTTTCTCTTGGCAGGAAATAACTGAAAATATTATGTATGACATGATATTGCCCACCCCTAGATGGAATTTAAATCATTTACATGAATTATAATTGAAAGTTCCTGTATGACATTTGTGACATGTAGCTGTAACTCTTTACTGCTGATAGATGGATAATGTGAAGAAGTTCAGGAGAGCTGGATGTTAAATTTTCCTCACGAAAATTAGGCAATAGGTGGCAGTAAGATGATATACAAATGTAATGGTATATCTTTTAAACAATTACAGTAATATCATATGAGAACAAATAAACCTGTAACCGGTATTATTCTTATGTTTGACTTTACCCGCTTCAAACGGGCAGAATAATCCCTTAAATGTTTCCATTTAATCTCTAAAATGTTCCTCCTTTTATTTTGATAGTCTCTGCTAACCGAGTGTCCTCTTTAGGGTGCAGGAATATGCCAAGACAAAGGCTCCTGACTGCAGCCCACTGCCCTCTCTGGTGGTGTGTCCTCCCACCCTAACGGGACATTGGGTCGACGAAGTGGCAAAGTTCTGCAGCAACGAGTTCCTGAACCCGCTGCACTACACTGGGCCGCCAACGGAACGGATGCGGTGAGCACTAGTCACAGTTTTTGTGTTTAAGCTCTGAAACTGATCTAGTACAGTGCTCAGCATAAATGAGAACACCCTAATTATAGTCTTGGGAGAAAAGCCACTCTTAAGACTAGAAAATTCAAATTAACAGCTTTCAACCACAGATGGCCTGTATGTGTATAGCACCTTCTTAGGGTTCTACAATCCCTCAAGGTGCTTCACAACACAAGCAGTCATTCACACACACTAGAGGTGGAAGAGAGGTGGAGCTGAGGGTGGGGCTGAGGCTGGGATCAAATGACGACACCCGGTCGAACTAGCTACAAGCTAACCCAAAGCTAACGCGGAGGTGGGAGCTAAGCTAACGGAGATAGCAACCTAGCTACAACCGGAGTTAACTGTGCACAACACCAGAGCTTCTGAGTCAGAGATACGCCGGGCTGACCGCTGGGTAAAACCGGGTGGAACACAGAGGTCTGCGAGATCTCCACAAGCCGGCAGTCCGCGCAGCAGACAGAAGCCGCGATCAGACAGAGATGCGCCAAGCTGCGGGGAGGGGAGAACCGGGTGGAAAACATCGGTCTCCCGAGAGCTCCACAAGCCGATAGTGGGAACCCAGCTCCACCAACATGTTATATTTCAACCCATTTTCTAAAGTGCAGCATTATGTTAAATGCATTGGGTTTTACCCTATTACATTTAAATTTCATGGTTAAACAGTACATGTTAAAATCTAAGCTCAGCTTGGCAGTGACCTAAAATACATAAATATAATTTTACTTACCGAAAAAAATGAAGTGGTGACTCCTTGGACGCTCTATTAGTGCAATTAATGCCACAGCAAGTCACAAACACAGAGACTCAAAATCCTGGAACAGTTTCCAGGCCAGACCGAGGCTCTACTGAGGCCTTTCCACAGAGCTAGCTCTGTGGTCACGTGGGTCTGATGCTCATTAATTATACAGAATTTTAGGCTTTTAATACACTTAAACAGAAGAGTGAGAAAAAAATTCACCCCCCTCAGAGTTGTCATGAGTGTAAACTAGATAATTTAAACCAAAAACATGTTCTGGTACCAGGCTGTAAACATGTTTATTTCTGCTGTGAAATTGGTATTTTTAACATTATTGAGGATTTGCTCGCTTCTGACACCAGCCCCTAGTGGATGAGGGTGGAACTGCAATTTTTGGTACTTCTGGGATTGCTTATATTTTTAAGCAACATTGTGGGGGCCTGGTGTAGCTACAGCTGGACTGGGGCGCGCTGACAGAGGTGAGGCTTCCGAGCACATGCGCCACCTGTCCCTCCGACCACCAGCAGCCAAGGTGGGTTACGTGTCTTGCCCAAGGACACAACAGCAGTGACAGACTGAGCAGGGCTCGAATCTGTAACCTTCTGATCACGGGGCGAGCTCTAGTCTCCTTGAGAAAGGAAATCATTTATTTTCATAAACAGGTGAGTGCTACAATAAGATCAGCAAAGCTTTACACATCAGTCAGAATACTGTAGCAAAAGTGATCCAAACATTTAAGAAAATTGAAGTGCGACCATCTTACAGAGCCATAATTTTCTAAATAAAAGTACTGCAGAGGTGCAATTTCATAAATATGAAGCTTACATGTGACCCAACAGCTTTTTTACTCGCATCATTCCAGAAGTTCATCGGTGTATTTTTCATGGCTTTATTCATGGTAGTGGAGAATAATCAGTAGCTCATAACTCGCAAAAGTTAAAATTGAAGGAAAATCATAAAAGTTATGTAATAAAGTAATCAGTGGCAAACAAAATAATGCAAATTTATATATATTGGAAAGTATCTTTAAAAGAATAATATAAAAATGAGGAAGAAACGCAAGAAGTTAATCAGTGTTGCTGGTAATCAAACCTATATGTGAATGTACCACAGAAGGAATTAGAGATTAGTATTGGAAAATTGAAATAATTAACTTAAATCAGTCATAAAATGTGTAAAAATTAAAAAATCTCTAGAAATTGAAAAATGAAAATGGAATTTGGATAAACATAACAGTTAGTTAGTGGATTTACTCGCTTTTATCTATGTTTCCTGATCTGAACCCAATCCAACACCTTTTGGGAATTCTGAAGCAACAAGTAGAGTGTCACTCTCCATCCAGCATCCAGGCTCTAAAAGAGGTTCTTCTTGAAGAATGGAAACAGATAGACGATGCAATATGTCGCCAAGACTTGGCACTGTCCTTGGAAACCATGGTGGTCATATGAAATACTAGCGTGGCCTGCCAGACTCATCCTCTAGACAGAGAACTATTCTGGTTACTCACAGGCAGAGAGGCACATGAGGGGCGGGACTAGCCAGCTCAAAAATAACCAATCAGAAACTGTTCGTAAAGAAGGGTTCCCAGGCTGGTCAGGCTAACAAAGTATTAGATGTAGTAGTTTTTCTTGTGGGGTGTATCCATTTTTGCTTCAACCACTTTTACTGAGCTAACTGAATGAAGATTTAGTGATCCAAGTTATATTATTAACATTAATAGAGTTAAACACGTTTTCAATAAAATCCAGCCTTGTGAACATTCTGGAAACTGTTCTTTTGTTCATTGAGCTGCTGATTACATTTGTACTTTTTAAAGGGGTGTACTCATTTATGCTGAGCACTGTTTGAGAGGATTTCTGTGACGTCTCACTCTGCAGGTTGCAGCTTCAGGTTAAAAAACACAACCTCATCGTAGCTTCCTATGATGTCGTACGCAACGACATCGACTTTTTCAGGTGAGTTTTGCTCTTAACCTTTCCATCATGCTAGTTCACTTTTTGTCCTCAGTGATTTTTTTTTGTTGTCATTTTACAGAAATATCAAATTTAATTACTGTATCCTTGACGAGGGTCATATAATCAAAAACGGGAAAACCAAACTTTCCAAAGCCATTAAACAGTTAGCTGCTAACTTTCGTATCATCTTATCAGGAACCCCCATTCAGGTGAGACCTCTCTGGAGATTTAATTTAATTCTCATAAAAGCTCCATCAGGCATGAAAATGTTTGGTTTTCTTGTGTTCTCCCAGAACAATGTCCTGGAGCTCTGGTCCTTGTTTGACTTCCTCATGCCGGGATTCCTCGGAACAGAACGGCAGTTTGCTGCGCGCTACGGTAAACCAATTCTAGCTAGCAGAGACGCCAAGAGCTCCTCCCGAGAACAGGAAGCAGGTATCTCATCTCGTCTTGTCACACAACGAATGTCTGAAATAAAAATTTGTGGGGTGATCCTAATGGTTTTGTCCTCGTCAGGTGTTTTAGCGATGGAAGCCTTACATCGGCAGGTGTTGCCGTTCCTCTTGAGGAGGATGAAGGAGGACGTCCTCCAAGATCTTCCTCCTAAAATAATTCAAGACTATTACTGCAACCTGAGCCCCCTACAGGTCTTCATGTTCTGTTTTAATTTTTACATCTGGACTGATCATTATAGTTCAGTTAAATTTTCTACAGTTGAAAGATAAAAAAATTTTAATACATAAAAATTAAGATGATTAAAGAAATTTTAAAAAATGAGAAACGTGAACACCTTAAATTTTTATTTGCATTAGTTCATCGTTGCAGAAGCGTAACATCAAAGTGAAATAATGAAGAAAACCTTACTTCAGCACATTTACAGTAGGCCCGGAACAGGAAGTGGTCAGGATCAGAGTGTGCTGCATTTAAAACGGTCCCTAAAACGACTCCGTTCAGATTGCATCAGCTGCTTTTGTCCATGATCTCATTTCAGTATTACCCCCACACTTACACACCAGCAGTCCTACGTTGGCAATTTTTTTGCTATTTTAACCTAGAATTAAGTGAATTTTGTGTCATCTGTTATAGTTTAGATAAGAACAAAATCTCAGTTTTAATGGTATAGTTTAGATTTTTCTTAGCAAACTTGAAACATGTTCTTATTTACTTTTTCTTTTAAAAAAAAGCTAATGGTCTGTATTTTTATAGCGCCTTCTTGGGGTTCTACAACCCCCCAAGGCACTTAACACAATCAGTCATTCACACGCTGATGGTGATGAGCTATGATGTAGCTACAGCTGCCCTGTGGAGTACTGACAGAGGTGCCACCGGTCCTTTCGACAACCACCACCAGCAGGCAAGGTGGGTTAAGTGTCTTGCCCAAGGACATAACAGCAGCATTCTCAGCCAGGATCGAACCTGCAACCCTCTGGTTACTGGACATCCTGCTCTACCTCCTGAGCTACTGCTGCCCAAGAAGCCTGCAAATTTATTTTATTAATTTCTTTATTTAACCATAATTTATCCAGATGAGTGGATAGAGAACTCATTCTCATTTTCTAATGACGATCTGGCCAAGAGGCAGCAGCAACAGACACATAGTTAGCTTTACAACAAAGAACAACAGCAGTAGCTCAGGAGGTAGAGCAGGTTATCCAGTAATCAGAGGGTTGCAGGTACACTCCTCGATGTCGAATGGTTTTATTGACAAGGATGAAGGAGCCCTGCGGCGACATACAAAGCTGAGTGAGCAGAAGCTAACGGCAGCGTGAAGCAGCAGCATGGGCTGAAGACCAAAGCTAAGCAATGCGATAAAATAGATAAAGACTTACAGATACAAGTCGAACAGTAGCATGGATATGCAGCAGTGTGATGGTTGAGCAGCAGCAATCCAAATGAGAAGCAGCAGTATGTACAGTGAGGGATAGTCACCTGTACGTGACTTCAGGCACATCCCTGAATACACCTTTTTCCCTCGAGGCTTGATCGCAGCACACCCTAGTGGCTAGTGGTGACCTCTGCAGATCCGACCACAGAATTCTACTGTTGTGTCCTTGGGCAAGACACTTAAACTGCTTTGCCTGCTGGTGGTGGTTGGAGGGACCAGTGCCGCCAGTGCTCGGCAGCGGTGGCTGCAATGTAGCTCATCCCACCAGCGAGTGAATGTGGGCTGCATGGTGGCGCAGTGGTTAGCACTGTTGCCTCGCAGCACGAAGGTCGCAGGTTCAAAACTCGCCTTTCTGCGTGGAGTTGCGTGTTCTCCCCATGCATGCGTGGGTTTTCTCCGGGTACTCCGGTTTCCCCCACAGATCACAACATGCCCTATAGGTTAAAAAAAAATACATAAAAATAAAAATTGTAAGTCGCTTTGGGAAAAAGCGTCTGCTAAGCACATAAACATAAATGACTAATTGTGAAGTGCCTTGGGGGGTTGTAGAACTCGAAGGTGCTATACAAATAGAGGCTAAAAAAAACCCAAATAAGATAAAAAAAACATACAAGGTAAAAAATAAGATAAAACTGTTAGACGTGAAGACAAAGGACTGTTCTCATTTATAATATGTACAAGCAATCAGAACAGACTTAAAACAGTCTTTAAGTACTCAGAAGCAGGAACATTGATCAGAAACTGATTGCAATAAAATATATAAACAACCAATGATAAATATCAAGACTACATTCACTAGAACCCTCTAGATCTAGTGCTCAGAAAGCTAAAACACAAACATCTGTATGAATTTTGTGTTTCCTTATATAATTCGATCAATAATCTGGGATTCTAATTCACTGTTTCCAGATTCAGCTTTATGAAGACTTTGCAAAGTCTAGAGCAAAGGCCAATGTGGAGGACAGCATCTCTCATGCTTCTAACGAGGAGGAGGAGAAGCCCAAACTGAAATCCACAGGCCACGTATTTCAGGTACTTGAGTTATGCTTCCTGTAATGGCGTTTTCACATCTGGCTTGGCCTGGTCTGGTCTTGGTAGCATTGGCCCACCCCTGACATGGTCTATGTAACACAAATGTCTCCGAGCATGTGGGTGGGGCTAATGATGTGCAGAGGGGTCTGTGGTGTTTTCTTTTGTTAGTAAACAGAGACTGCCATGAGCATTATTTGTTTTTGGAAACTGATATGAAGCACACAGCTTTCTACTCTCTCTCACTGGGCGGACTGCCAGAAAGAAGGTCCAAACAAACAAACAAAAAACGGTCAGCTGAGCATGGAAAACTCACATTAATCCACATCCAGGTAAGCTAATGCTAAAGTTAAAGGGTAGCATGTTCATGTCCAATGTGTCGTGGGTCTCCTCCCATTTGGATGTTCCCAGAAAACCTCACCAGGGAGGCATCCAGGAGGCATCCTGACGTAATGCCCAAGCCACCTTAACTGACTCCTCTCGATGTAGAGAAGTAGCAGGTCTACTCGCAACCCCTCCTGGATGATCGAGCTTCTCACCCTATTTCTAAGGGAGATTCTTTCGGTCACTACCCAAAGCTCATGACCGTAGGTGAGGGTAGAAATGTAGATCGACCGGTACATCGACTACATCATCTGCAAGAGACCCGATCCTCAGGCCACCAAAACCGATGCCCTCAACACCTTGGCTGCACCTAGAAATCCTGTCCATAAAAGTTCTGAACAGAATCGGTGACAAAGGGCAGCCTTGGCAGAGTCCAACTCTGACTGGGAACGAGCCCGACTTGCTGCCGGCAATACGGACCAAGCTCTGACACTAGTGGCGTGCATCTCTAACTTTCTCACGGTTCGATCTGATTCCGATTATCTGCCTAAAGATTCGATTTGAGTCTGAAATGCATCACGATTCTTCACACACAAATTTTCATTACTTTATAAAAGCAGTAGAATAGTTTTCAATTTCTTTTTGATTTCGAAATCCCTGAAAAACAAAACATTCATCTATTCACTATAGTGAGCAATAATGTTTGAAGTGTGCTGCCTATAATTACTTAAATAATATAAGAAATAAGGTTTTCAGTAGAGCAGCTTTAAGATAGAATATTACTGAACTTAAAAATAGTAAACAAATACTGTGTTAAGTGATTCTTTCACATCCAGGATCCCAAAACAGAAATTAGCCCAGACATCCGATTTAAATGTAACGGGTACATCTTTGATTACTGGTAATGTTGGCCCTGTATCCCTGTCTGCCTTTTCTGTTTTAAATATGCGCTAGGGCAACGCAGTGTGCATGTCATTGCAACTCTGCCCCCAGAAGTAATTGTAACACCTCAAAACTTTATTGTCCTCGCATAGACATAGACCAGGGGTCGGCAACCTGTTCCCATCAAAGAGCCATTATTACCCGTTTCCCACAGTAAAGAAAACACCGCAGCAGCCGCGGCGTTGTGGGCGGGGCCTACCCTCAGACAGCAGAGAGCTGCCCACAACAGGTGACAGCAGCCAGTACCGGTCGCTCGTGTACGTCAAAAGTTATCTTTCATAAGAAGATAATCAATAAAACTATTCATATAAAGTGGATCCAGAAGTTGTAGCCCGTCTCTGCCTACAATATTTTGATATTTTTCACCCTGTTGGTGGTTTTACTGAGCAGGTGCCACTTTTGTCATACGTTTCTTTTTAAAACATGTTTAGACTGTTCAGAATACAAATCCAGACTCTGTCACGTTTGATTGTTGTAATTAAACTTTGTAGGTGGGGAAGGTCAGAAAAGGATCCGATCATTTTGTTTTCCCTCATTTACAATGACGGAGATAACGGTGCAGTGCGCCTGGCTCTGGTGTTAATCAAGTTAGATTTGATCTCTTTCCAACAATTTTCACAAGAAAACAGAACTGTTAAAAGCAGGGCTTGTGTTGTGTTGACCGGATAGTTCCCGTTTTTGACTATTTATTTTGACGGAGAAAGAATAGAATTACCCCGACGCAAGCAGACGAACTGACAATTTATTCGTTTTGCACATCGCAGATGTAGCTAAATCACTCAAGAAAAGATTCCCATCTGAACATCTGAGCTGGACACTGCTCAGCGCAGCTCGCTGTCAGCGCGTACGGTGCACAGCAAGCTGAAGATGTGGAGAGGGGCTTGGAGCGCGTCGCAGAACCAGAGTGCATGCGGGAAGATTCCTCCGACTGAAGCGAGACTTGTCACTTAGAATATGTTCCCTGATTATGAAACTTTGGCTGAATAGCGCTTGTTCCTGTCTCCAATGTGGCGACACATCCAGGAGCCGTCTGAGGAGAATCCCAGAATCTCACATCCTCGTCAGCTCAGAAAGCGCCGATATGATTACACACAAGCGTGACCCGTCAACCCGGTCTCACAGTAAGACCGGGTTGGAACTGTTCAGGTTTACGCAGACAATCTTTACATTTAGAATTGGCATACAGATGAAAAATTAATGCAGTAAAATATAAAGCATTTTATTCATTATTTTACAAGCACAGAGAGCCACATCAGATGTATGAAGAGCCGCATGCGGCTCCAGAGCCGCGGGTTACCGACCCCCGACATAGACATAGGGAGAAAATCTCATGTCACATTGCTGCATCGATGCGGAATCATGCACGGCTGAATCGCGATGCATCTTGGAATCGATCATTTTTCCCGCCTCTATCTGACACCAGTCGTACAGGGGCCTAACAGCCTGTATCATAGGGCCTGGTACCCCCATTCTCCCGGAGTATCCCCACAGGGCCTCCCAAGGGATACGGTCAGACGCCTTCTCCAAATCTACAAACACATGTAGATTGGTTGGGCAAATTCCCACACGCCCTCAAGGACCCCTCTTAAGGGTATCGAGCTGGTCCAGTGTTCCACAGCCAGGACGAAAACCACATTGATCCTCCTGAATCTGATGTTCAACAATCCGTTGGACCCTCCTCTCCAGAACCCCTGAAAAGACCTTACCAGGGAGGCTCAGAAGTGCGATCCCCCTGTAGTTGGAACACACCCTGCGGTCCACCTTTTTAAATAAGGGAACCACCACCCCGGTCTGCCAGTCCAGTGGAACCACCCCCAATGTCCATGCGATATTGCAGAGCCGTGTCAGCCAACCCAGCCCTACAACATCCAGAGCCTTAAGGAACTCAGGCGGATATCATCCACTCCCTGGGCCTTGCCACCAAAGAGCTTTTCGACGACCTCAGTGACCTCGGCACCAGAGATTGGAGAGCCCAACTCAAAGTCCTGAGACCCTGCTTCCTCACTGGAAGACGTGCCGGTAGAATTGAGAAAATATTCAAACTTTGAAGTATTCTGCCCACCGATCCACATCGTCCCGAGTCAGCAGCACACAGTCCCCGCTATAAATCTTGTTGGTAGCGCACTGCTTTCCCCTCCTAAGGCACTGGATGGTGGACCAGAATCTCCTCCGAGCCTTACGGAAGTCTTGCTCCATGGTCTCACCAAACTCCTCCCATGCCCGGATTTTTTCCTCCGCGACCACTCGAGCTGCATTCCACTTGTACTGCCGGTACCTGTCGGCTGCCTCTGTAGTCCCACAGGCCAAAATGACTTGATAGGACTCTTTCTTCAGTTTCACAGCTGGGGTTGCCGCTACGACAGATTCTGATGACCCTGCGGCCACAGCTCTGGTTGGTCGCCTCAACAATAGAGGCAGGGAACAGGGCCCATTCAGACTCGGTGTCCCCCGCCTCCCTCAGAACATTTTAGAAGTTCTGTCGAAGGTGGGAATTAAAGCGCCTACTGACAGGAGACTCCGTCAGACATTCCCAGCAGACCCTAACAATATGTTTGGGCCTGCCGGGTCTGACCGGCATCCTGGGAGCCAACTCGCCACCAATAGGGTCATGATGATGATCATCATGGTGATTATGATGATGATGTTTACAGCCATAAATAACTGAAGTAAAACTTGCACAGATATAAAGGTTTGAGTTTTGGCTCCACACAGACTTGCAATTACCTTTTCAGTCATTCAGTACACATGTATTATTTTGCTGAGCTGGGGGTGTTCATTAATGCTCTCATTTGTGCTCTTCCAGGCTCTGCAGTACCTGAGGAAACTCTGTAACCACCCCAGCTTGGTTCTGACTCCTCAGCATCCTGAGTTCAAACGGATCACCGAGCAGCTGACTGCTCAGAACTCCAGCTTACGCGACATCCAGCACGCGCCCAAACTCTCCGCCCTTAAACAGGTAACGGTTCTGCCCTACTGATCCAAAACCAGAGGATTTGGATCTGGCCAGTTGTTATGATCTAGGTCGTCTAGGTAACCTAGTGTGACAAGAAGGGTGTGTACTGTGTATTTAAAAAGGTAAATCAAAAGTGTTTACCAGAATGGACACAATAACACATTAAGCAGGGGTGCTCATTACGTCGATCGCGATCTACCGGTCGATCGCAAAGGTACGTGGGTGGATCTCATGAAAAATTATGTCAGCCTATCAGCCATCCTGTAAAGCCTGATTCATGCTTCTCCGTCTGCGTCAGTGCGGAGACACACAACGTCCTTGCGGGCCTGCTGGAGAGCTCCGCAAGGACAGACTGAGTCGAGCTCTCTTTTCTAAACATCTGTCAGTCAAGACGGACAATGCAAGCTTGTGATTGATCAGGACGCCACTGTCGTCTACACCGCCGCCATTGCGCCCTCAAAAACATAGGGCCGAGGATAACTAGCGGCAGACACGGAGAAGCTTGAAGAATACCTCGCGGCTGGGACAGAGGAGAGGTTCCTGTCAGAAATAAATAAAAATCGATTCTGAGCAATCGTAGAGTAACGGATTGTTAGGAGTCGTTCTGTGTGGAGTAAGTTTTACATGGACATGTTGTCTGAGAGTGCAGCCTCAGCCTCTTCTGAGCTGTCATTCTCTGGTTGCGTGTATGATCTGGGAGCAGAGGAGGTTCTGGGAGGTTCTCATAGTTGTGAAATAAAACATGAACAGGAATTGGATTTGTGAGGTTTATCTGTTGCTCTACAAAGGGTCCCAAATCCCAGCACAGCAGAAGGATTTCCTTTGAGATCATTACGCTCACGGAGAACTTGTTCCCTCCAGAGAGCACATTCTGGTAAATCCTCCAATAACACAGAACAGCCATGATATCATGTCAGATTTCCATTGGTCACAGGAGTCTTATATTGATTTTTAGCTCCAATTATGCGAAAAATCCATTTTTCCCACTGACAAAACTACATACTGAATGAATAAAATTTGTGGATGAGTAACACGTTTGGATGACTGAGACATTTGGTATTGCACTTCTTTGTTCTGCCACTAGATGCTGTCCGTACGCACGGTCAGAGCAGTTCTTACGTTTAGGAACGTTTCTACGCACAAGTACAAAATGATAAATACCACACAATGCGTAGAATAGTTCCTACGCATGAAATACACACAAATCTGTGTGTAAGTACGTTTGATAAATGAGGCAGCTGGAGAAAACTGTAGTTTCACAGCTTTGTATACATTTAGCTAACATTGACCTAATCGAGCCATTTCATTCTGAGTGCTGCATTTGACACAGTCTCTCCAGGGGTGGATCTTTAAAGCGCCCGAGCACCAATGGCGCTAAATTTTCTCGTCGGGCGGTAAATACTTGACGACTTACCGCCCGGGTGGCGCCCAAGCCTTATTTGTCATTTACACACCGGCTTTCACCTACATCATGGCCGCGCCCTGTACGAAGCCGCCGTTTTCGTTTCGCGCGCGTGAACCTGCGCGCCTCTAGCCACGTACTGCACGATTCTAGTTATAGTCACGTGAACTATAAGTTCACTATTAAACACGAAGTGGAACCATGCTAGAAACACACAAGCACGCAGGAAGATCGCGCCACCACAGGGATGGGATTTCTTGATTAAATCTCCGGCAAAACGCTTTAAAACTGGTGAGGAGAAGCGAGACAGTTTGAAACGGTATGAAGCAGAGAAGCGTGTGCGTAGGTGGAATGTTTCTTGGCGGTTTAAAGAAGACGGGAGGCGCAGAGAATGGCCGTGTTCGAGTTGAGCTGCACCTCGCCTGGAAAACAGACGAGAGCAGACGGAAGCAGCGGGGGGAGTGGCTGAAAGCCGGCGTTTAACGCCGGGGACACACCGGCCGCGGAAGCGCCGAGAAGCGAATTGCTCACGAAATTCGGCCGCTGCTCGCCACTCCTCAGTTCAGATCAGACGTGCCCCATTCGAGGCGTGCCTCGGCTCAGCTGTAGTTTTTCTTTTAACTACTTGGTGTCCTCCATTTCCTCTCTATCTTTTCTCAGCTCTTTTCCTCTACGCGAGCGAGAGAGAGAGAGAAAGAGAGCCTATGGTGTGAACCAGTTGTGTCTGCCAGTTGAATCTCTTGGATTTCCCTGCATGTGTAGCTCGGGGGTGACGGTGGCTGAAGCATTCACACGTGTTCAATTGTAATTCTGGTGCCTGTTAGCAGCTGAAACACATCCTCACGTGCTTGTGGATATCATATATTGTATATGAAAACATGACTGTAATAATAAGTAAAGGTTATCAGCTGTAGCTTCAGTGTGCTCATAGGAAACGTGACAAAAGAAAACAAAACACATTTCTCTTTATGGCCTATATAGTTGTCATAATCAACGTAACGTGATTTACAGAATACATGTGACCAACTAACATTTCATGTTCTACCACCGGATGTTTGGATCAAAATATGAACCAATCAGATCTTAGATCAGGTGAGAGCCAGGCGTTTCCCGTCATCCTCTAGGTTTTGCAGCCGAGGGAGAGCAACTGCAGCACCTTGCTCCAAAATCTGCGGCCGCCTTGATCTCACAAGGTTATCGTTGCCTACGTATGCTTGACGTCAGAGCAAGTCGGGGTCAATTCGGACACAAATCTAACCGGCATGCGCTGCTCGCCGATCACCGCTGGTCTAATCTGCGCAGAACTGGCTCATCTCAAACACTGCCAATGGCTCGAGTACAGCAAAGCGGAGTTGGTGATGTACTGCGTTGTATGCCGGAAGTATGCAACGACAAAATCGTGTTTTGTTGAGGGAACAAACAAATTCAAACTTGAATACGTTATTATGTTTGTGAACGTGTACAAAATAAAGGTTTATTACATTTAAAACGGTTCAGTTGTTATTTTGACTCGTTTTGGCAGCTGACCAGCGGGGCCGGTAGATTCTTGGCAGGGCCGGTAAATATTCAGAGTTACTGGCCCGGCTGGCTGGTTGGTTGTGAAGTTAATGTCCACCCCTGCTCTCACTCCATCCTGTTGGCCAGGTTAGCATTCCTAGGGGTATCTGGCACGTTGCTTCAGTGGTTTCACTCATATCTATCTGATAGGACTAACTCCATTCAAATCTAGACTTTTACCTCGTCTCCATCTGTAGTGTCTACTGGGGTTCTTCAAGGTTCTGTACTCGTCCCTCTTCTTTTCATAGTCTTATCTGCTTCCCCTAGGGGCCATCTTTAGGAAATTCAACTAAGATTCATTTTTACACTGATGATACCCAGCTCTATGTTTCTATCTCTCCGTCTGATTCTCTTCCACCTCCCCATCAATGAATGTTTGACAGAAATCAGGTCCTGGCTTTTCAAAAACCTCCTCCAACTTTACCCTAAGAAAACTGAGGTGCTTCTCGTGGGTACAAATTTGGCTCTGGGGAAGGCTGGCAGCTTCTCTCTAGCCCAGGGGTGTCAAACTCAAATTTACACTGGGCCGAAATGAAAATCTGGGACAAAGTTGCGGGCCAAACTTAATATTTTTTGAAAAAGTGTGACTGTGACCCAGTGGTTGTGTTATGCTGGTTGTTTTTAATTTGTTGGTTTCATTGTGTTTTACTGGTGTAGTTCATGGTGAATTCTTCAGTGTACTGTGACCGTGGGTGTAAGAAAGGTGCCTGAAATAAAATGTATTATTATAAAAACAAGCGGTGCTGACCACTGTTGTGATACGTTTTGGGGTTCTTACTCATCCTTGTTCTCCAGCTGCTGTTGGATTGTGGTCTTGGAAATGGTGGAGGACCAGAGGGGACCACCGAGGCAGTCGTGGCCCAGCACCGCGTGCTCATCTTCTGTCAGCTGAAAAGTATGTTGGATATCGTGGAGCATGATCTGCTCAAACCCAAACTGCCTACAGTAACTTACCTGAGACTAGATGGCAGTGTTCCAGCTGGACAGCGCCACTCCATCGTCTCCAGGTCAGAAGATGGATCTTTATAGTCACCTAGCAAAACCTGCTGTGCCTGATGTCATGATCTCATCTTTACTACCTCAGGTTTAATAATGATCCCTCCATCGATGTGCTGCTGCTCACCACCCACGTTGGAGGTCTAGGCTTGAACCTCACAGGAGCTGACACCGTGGTGTTTGTAGAGCATGATTGGAACCCCATGAGAGACCTGCAGGCTATGGATCGGGCTCACAGGATAGGGCAGGTGAATTATGTAACCCAGCTGATTTAGTTGGGATGAATGATGCAAACTGTTGATGATGCTGACCTGTGGCTCGCGTTGCTCCTTAACCTGTTTGCAGAAACGAGTGGTGAATGTCTACAGGCTGATCACACGAGGAACGTTGGAGGAGAAGATCATGGGGCTGCAGAAGTTCAAGATGAGCATCGCTAACACTGTCATTAACCAGGAGAACACCAGCCTGCAGAGCATGGGCACAGACCAGCTGCTCAACCTCTTCACTCTCGACAAGGTGAGCTTCCCACAGGTGCTTCAAATCCTGGAAAATCTTGAATTTCAATGTAGTGTTTGGATTTTTCCTAACGTGCTAGGGTTAACCCAGAAAAGCTCCTCAAGCTCTGCTGCCTGTTGGCGTATTGCGGACCGTGGGACATAAATACTCTTCAGCAGGGATGTAAATTTTCCAGTTTTGGTGGATTTCCAAAACTTTCTAGTGATTGGGGTCACCCATGTGATCGATGCAAATTTGATGAGAATTTTGCTTTGTGAAAATAAATATCAACTTTCAAGCCCCAGACAGAGACCTACGGTCATAGGCGGAAATCCTGGAGGGGACAGCATAACTTTATGTCCCAGGACACAATCGATCAAAATCTAAACCACTAAACAATGCTTTGTTAATCATCCAAAGATCATGATCCCCTCTCCTATTCCTCTAATTGTTACGTCCCAAACAAGCCTGTTGGATCATTTTGCTGCTCCCAGAGCTGAGCGGCAGCAGGTAGAGTGACACAGCAAGCTGGGTGCTGCTGAAGCAGTAAGTTAATCACCACTAATAGTTAGTCCTAATAGTACTAAATGTCTTTTTTCTGGGCTAAATTTTGGTACTTTCCCAGTAAAATGTCCCTGTTAACCTCTTGAACCCAAAGCTATTTTTCAGAGATTTTCTTGAAAAAGACGTGCCATGTTACGCCCCCTCTCTGCAGGTCTAGGATGATGAGGGGACTAACACAAGAAAATAGGCGTAAAGGTGTGTGTGAGGATAAAGGACGAGGAGGTTAGAGTAAAAACAAAAGGATTTATTAACATAAGGTGTCCGTGGGTAAACGGCATAAAATAAGGCTTAGTAATAATAAACTAAAACATAAGCAGTCTCACTGCTTATGAAAAAGGCTTTCTGCCAAAACGCAAAATATCCCCGGCTCAAAAGTCCTATGGGGATAAAAAGAAAAACACCACGAAGGCTTAACCCTTAACAAGGTGTGTGAAAACACACTCAGAAGGTACCCAGGCTAAACCTAAACACAAATGAGTGAGGGAGGATCTCAGGCTACTCCAGGATCTCTATCAACAACCTTAAACCCAGCAGGAACGGTGTAAACAGCCTTAAACCCGACTGGTAACGGTCGCTAAAGTGTCCGTGAGCTAAAGGAGAATCTCTGGCTACTCCAGGATCTCCTCGATGTCTGCTGCGTTCCTCCTTTTAAAGAGCTGGGAGCTGCTTGATCGCTGATGAAGATCAGCTGCTGTCTCTGCTGGCGTGCCTCTCTCCGAGGTCCTGAAAGGGCACTGGAGCGCTGGAGAGTGTGAGCTGGCCGCTCCTGGCGCTGTCCCTGGTGCTGGATCCCGTGCAGCGGGGACAAAAGGCTCAGGCTAGGATGAGAGGACGGACCGAGGGGACGAGGGTCGTCACATGCCAAAAGTGAATCGAGTATATCTCATTAACTGTGTAACGGAACGGAATTTCTTCCCTTCTTTACTCAAGACTAGTCTGCCTGAGATATAACCAGAGGTGGAAAGTAACGGATTACATTTACTCACTTTGCTGTAATTGAGTAGCTTTTTTGTATATTTATACTTTTTAAGTCGTTTTTAAAAGCTGTACTTTTACTTTTACTTGAGTAAGTTTTTAAAAAAGAATTGTAATTTGCTACATTTTAAATCATGTCCGTTACTGAGTAAAAATAAATTATAGGCTTAATAAATTAAAGATATTGCATGTAGCAGCGTCGGAACAGAGAGACACCTGCATGAGCACGGCGTCTAAACCGTGGGGGGTGTGAGTGTGGCGACGGTGGCACAGGAGTTAAGTGCTCGCCCCGTAATCGGAAGGTTGCTGGTTCGAGTCCCACTCAGTCTGTCGCTGTCGTTGTGTCCTTGGGCAAGACACTTAACCCACGTTGCCTGCTGGTGGTGGTTAGAGGGACCGTTGACGTCAGTGCTCGGCAGCCTCGCCTCTGTCAGTGTGCCCCAGGGCAGCTGTGGCTACATTGTAGCTCATCCCCACCAGTGTGTGAATGGGTGAATGACTGATTGTGTTGTAAAGCGCCTTGGGGGGTTCTAGGACTCTAGAAGGCGCTATATCATATACAGGCCATTTACACTTTTGCTCTAAAACATCAATTCAGTCCCTGTGATCCACTCGCTGTTAACCTCCTCTCTCCCTCCTCTCCTGTGGGTTGGAACCCGCACCTTCGCGCACCGGTGTGACGTCATCAGAATTCTGCTCGGTTCGGTAGCCAGACTCGGTTCCGTGCTTGAAGTGTGTTTCTCTATCGCTCCGCACGGCAGCGGCAAAATAACGTTTAGCGCTCATAACAAGCGGATTCTCAGCACTTTGCTCATAAAACAGAAGACCTGCAGGCCTCTGTGAGTTAAAACATCCTGATACTGTTCAGGTGTAAACATTGTGCTCCAGCCCTGTGTTTGAACTCAGAAGATGCTTCTTGATGCCACAGATATGTGATGATTTAGCTTGTTTCTTTATTTTACTCCAGAATAAGAGATTAAATTATTACAAAAGCAGTTCAGTGTAGTTAAATTAGTCATGGTGTGTGTGTGTGTGTGTGTGTGTGTGTGTGTGTGTGTGTGTGTGTGTGTGTGTGTGTGTGTGTGTGTGTGTGTGTGTGTGTGTGTGTGTGTGTGTGTGTGTGTGTGTGTGTGTGTGTGTGTGTGTGTGTGTGTGTGTGTGTGTTTTACACATATAGGACTGCATGAGACAGCGTGTTTCATCAAATCCATGCATCCTATTTCTTGGCTGAAATAATGACTCAGGAAAATAACATATTTCATAAATAATGACGTCTCTACAGTGTTTATGATAATATTGTATCTTATATTGTAGCTATCTTTGGTCTGGGAGGTGTAACATATCATGATACAAGCCTTTTAAAAAAATGTTAAAGTGTTACAAGGGGAGATAAATGCATGAATTTAAAGTTCATGTTTGGAGACCAACCTTCAGAGTTTGGAGGCTCACGCTGGTGAGGAGACACCGTTAGTTCTAGTAACACCTGGGCTCCCAAGGTCTGTTCTGAGAGGATGGATGTTACGGGACCCTTAAGGATTCCAGTTGGATGATTGGAGGATTATTTAGGAGGATTGGAATGAACAAACTGATTTCAGTGGTGAAGGGTTAAATGAATGAGTGAACCCACTACCAAGGATGAACTCTGCTAACTTTAAAAATCAGCTGCTCTAAATAAGCATGAAGGTCAGAGAGGAGCTCTAGGATGGACACGGATAAAGGAACTGTAATGTAGAGGTAAAGCAGGGCAGGGCCAACGTTAGCAGCTGTCATACGGTCCATCTGAAATGTTTGACTGCATTAGGCTTGTTATGTGACAGGTTAGAGCACAGTCTCATGTTAGAGTTTTGTCATGAGAACAATGAGATACCTCACATACTGGTAACATCTTTTTTCAAAATAAAGAATAATTTTAATCACAACTGAAACAAGCCTAGAAAAACCTCGTCCAATCAATGTGCACGTCCTGTTCTCACTGACACAAATCCTTCCATCAAACTGATGGAAGGATTATGTGTTTATGTGATTATGTGTTATGTGTTTACTTTATACCTAAAAAACTTTCCGTGGAGTTAACATTTCACTCCAAAGTTTAAAAAGAGCGTGTTGTGAACTGGTGTTGTGGTTTTGCACTGATGTAACCATCTTTACGCCAACAAAAATGTACCCAATGTAACTAAATGTAGCTAAGTAACTTTTACTTTGAGTACATTTTACTTACGATACTTTTTACTTTTACTTGAGTAAAAGGTTGGTTCTGATTTAACATCACACGTCATCCATTCACCTTCCCATCCATTTTAGTTACACTATGCATTTAGTTTTAAAGTCAGTCCAGTTAATTTGTTAGTAATAAAATTCTTAACTTTTAAACTTGACTCTTTCTATTCTGTTGAGACTAAATTCCGATGCCATTCAGTACCTTTTGGGACTGTGCCGACGCTAATGTGTAAGCGCCATTTTACTGTCTGGATGAGGAAACGGACGCAATGGGAGTCTGCCTGCATGATTTTTGTCCAGGTGATTCTCCACTGTGAGATCCTCTCCCACTTGATTCATGCAGTGTTAATTATGACAGGAAATTTAAATTTTATTTTAGTCTTAGTCTTTTGGCAAAAAATTTATTTTAGTCTTAGTCCTATTTTAGTCATTAGATTTATTTTAGTTTTAGTCCCATTTTAGTCGATGAAAATAAAAAGTAATTGTAGTCAATAAAAATAAGCAATTTTAGTCAACAAAATACATATATTTTTTCTAATGAAGTAATTTCCTACTTTTGTATAGAGCACGGAAAACTAGTAGTGTAATTTAATACACAGGGTCCAAACTCTTAACTGCCACTGATCAGATATAGCACACACAGCTAAGAACATAGAATATTTGAATAAAAAAAAAACACTTCACATGTTTAACACTTACGTGTTTAATAAAAAACAAAAAGTACGCTGGGAATTACAAAGGTGCTCTTTTTAGCAATTGCACAACAAGCATTTTTCAAACTAGCATGCAGAAATACTCAAAAGTAAAACTTCCTCCTTTGAGGGCATGCATTTTTCCAGAAACTTCTCACAATAAAATGGTTAACACCCCAAAATAAGTACAGTACAGGACCTGTAAGCTGTCAGTTACGGGTGCCTTTTTGGTATTTAACACATACAAAAGACGCACCGGGTTATTAAACTTACCGGTCAAACACCTGTGCGGGCTCGGGACTCGGAACACATCAGTGCAAACCAGACATTGTGAAAATTATAAACAGCCAAAAGCATGCTTCACTTTACTGGTCTAGTCCTGGTTCAGAGCGCACGTGCACTTCCTCATTGCGCAAAAACGAACGTGTGTGCATGAATGTGCATGTGCCGTGAGCGGTTCTGGTACTTTCTGGGTCGCAGCCGCTCGCTGCACCGCTTCAACTGTGCAATTGTGAGCTCGCACGGACTTCTGGCGTGTTTGATATTTTGCTCGTCCCTCGTGAGGGTATCGCACTCCATGCGAGCTCACGATTGCACAGTTGAAGCGGTGCAGCGAGCGGCTGCGACCCAAAAAGTACCAGAACCGCTAACGGCGCATGCGCAATCATGCATCAACACCACTCGCCCGCTATTTCCCTAATAACACACGTTGTTCGTTTTTATTTCTACACGTTTTTTTTACTCACAAAGATTGTCAAGAAAGCGTGTTTGTCGTGTTCATGTCAAATTTAACTGATCACAAAACACAGATTTACTTTATTTCGTTTTCCTCATCCAACCCCCATAAATCCCTGTGTGTCCTCCTGCAGCACTCCTGAAGAACAGGCAAGACAAAAAAGTCTGACGTGTTGAGTAAAAACTGCTATTTTTAGCATATTTTTAGGTCCGACGTGTTGCTACCAGACATACAGTGTGAGCAGTCAGGTCGCATCCGAGAACTCCGTACATCTCTGAGCAAACATGGAGAAGTTGATTTTTTATTATGGTAGGCCCAGCGTCACCTCTAACTAAATCGGACTCTGATTGGTTCTCTTCTCACCTAGTCCTGCCTGTTCAATTTGTTGATTGGTCCTTTTATTTGCGTCATGCATCTTTCCTGTCTTCTGATTAGATATTCATCATCGTGGATTTTCATCTCGTCTCTCATTCGTTGACTAAAAGTTTCAATCAATTTAATTACCGTCTTCGGCTTTTTCCAAGCTTTTATTTTGAATTTTTGTTTCATTTTCTCCTGTAAATATATTTTCGTGACCAAAAAAAAGATGAAAATATTTTGTCAACAAAATTAACACTGGGTTCATGCCCCTGCTGCCTGGGCCCCACTGATCTGCACACCCGCTCAAACCTCTTCTTCAGTCTGCCGATTTCTCTCCTTCCCTCGGGTCTTGCCTAGTCGGGTCTTTGGAAAAATCCCAAACCATCTCTCCCGATGGCCAATGTTCCCACCAGTTCCTTCTGCCTGAGGTGATTACTGGACTACTGTAATGAATTACAGTAATCTGGGGCAGTAGCAGCTCAGCAGGTTGAGCGGGTTGTCCAGTAATCGGAAGGTTGCAGGTTCGATCCCAGCTCCGGACAAAGAATTCTGCTGTTGTGTCCTTGGGCAAGACACTTAAACCTCTTGCCTGCTGGTGGTGGTTAGAGGGACCGGTGGTGCCTGTGCTCGGCAGCCTCGCCTTTGTCAGTGCGCTCCAGGGCAGCTGTGGCCACAATGTAGCTCATCACCACCAGTGTGTGAATGTGTGTGTGAATGGATGAATGATACACTGTAGTGGAAAACGCTTTGGAGTCCTTACTCTGAGAGGCGCTATACAAGTGCGGGTCATTTATCATTTATAATCTATTCCTTAGGTAAAAAATGCATGAACTCGTTTTTTAGCATCACTCCTGGAAAGAATGCTTCTAATCTTCACACATAATTTATTTTCAGTTAAGCTGAAGTACCACATATGTGTGATTCAGGGTGTAAGGCAAAGAGGACCAGAAAATAACTTTTATAGTCCCGTTTACGGACCCATGAGCCAACTGGAGGGGGATGAGCCTTAGGCTCCCATGCTCAGGTGCATCAACAAGGGCTGCATGCTGCTTCTGCAGCTCTTCATGCTAGTTCAGTAAAAGGGCTTCCAGTAAATGGGATGCTGCCATTTTAACGGCTTTAACAGATCCTTGCAGTGGTTCCTCGTATAGCTCAGTGATAGTTGAGTCCAAGTTTAAACTCATAAATGTTACAGCAAGAGTCTGTTTCCAAACAAACCTCTAGCTTACGAGTCATCCTTCTCCCTGCCTGAGTAGGAGTTTTTTCAGCTAAACTTTTTCATTTATTACTTTTGTTTTCAGGAGGAAAAGTGTGAGAAAGGTGAGCAGTCGTCGTCCACCTCGGGGAAGTCGTCCATAAAGTCTGTTCTGGACAGTCTGGGAGAGCTGTGGGACCAGCAGCAGTACGACACGGAGTACAACCTGGACAGCTTCATCAACTCTCTGGAGTAGAACTGAACCATGTGCAGGTCAAGCAAGGCCTGGCCCCGGTCTGGGCTGTTGATGAAGATCTCAGCTCTGTCAGCAACAGGGAGAACGTTGTTGCAACATTCTCTTTCTTCTCTGGACCTTCCACACGTCAAGAGGAAAATGACCAGTGTTGGTTTGCATCATGTCCAGCAGGTGCTGATCCTCCTCCACAGCCCAGCTCAACAGTGTTGGGACAACCCCACTCAGCCCTGAAGTCTTAATGGGGAAGATGAAACGTTTTTGTATGACAAAGGGAACCTGGGAGTGAAAAACCGTAGATCTGTTCTCCGATCTCCTGCAGGAGAACTCTGGAACGTTTTCTCAGATGTTTTAAGGGATTTCTAGGCTTGTACATATTTCTGTAATTGCTTCTTTTTGTTTGATTGTGGAACCGAAATAAATTCTACATAACTTTAAATTGTTCTTATTTAGGCTGAGAAACGTGGTGGCCAGTAGGTGGCGTGTTTGTCCACCAGTATACTGTCAAAGGCAGCTAAACAAAAATCGGTTGTTTTATTAAAGCTCAACGGAACCCAACAACACGTGATGCCATTTTACATCTGAACCTAAAGGTCCTGAGTGACACAAACAGCGTTTCCATGGCAATGGTTAAGAAGGAGCACCAGAACCGCCTCTTACAGGTGGGATCAGGGTAGGTGTGTGGCACTTCTTGGCTAAGAAAATGAAGAAATATTAAGACTGTTTTAAATAGCACCTCAAGAAAAAAATCAAAAGCGCGTCACAACCGAGCTTTTTTATTTTATTATTAAAAATGTGTGAAAGGGACAAGTTAAAATTGCAGAGGAATAATTAAAATAAATAAAAGGTAAACACAGGATCCTGAAAAAGAACTGGTGGAAACGGCAGAATGAAAAGAGACCAGTGATGAAGAGATGGTCCCACCTTACCTGAACAGGTGAGTTTAAAGGAGACCACGGAGTCCACTGATCTCAGTCAAGCTTGGGGAGAGGTCCAGAGTCTGGGGGCCACAGCAGCATATGATCTGTCACCTTTGACCTTTAGCCTGGTGCTGCACAACCAGTAGGCTTTGGTCGCTGGAGCTCATGGACCTGCTGGGGGTGTAGGGACTGAGAAGATCACTGACGTATGATGGTGCTTGTCCATGTAAGGCCCTATAGACCAGACCAATCGAGGACGTTCTTTTAGAGACTGATTAAAGCAAATGAGAAACAGTCCTTGATTCAATCAGGTTTTAGTTCCAGTGTTGCAATATGAGAATGTGGAATCGGTTACACAGAGCGTCAGCATCTCAGGAGTGATTGCTTACCAGCAGTGAGGTCACAATATTGTTATACCCTTGCTGTCACCCCCCTTTCCCCCTTAGCCCCACTCCAAGGAAGAGAGCAAAGGATTTCAAGGGGGACTTATCTAGAAACGAATGGTTGAGTTGGACATCTGGACTCATATCCTGGGGCAGTGCTTCTGAAAGTTGCAGTGCTTAATATGCGCTGCGCTCCAGCAGCAATGAGTTGAAATCACCGGGGCATAGATTATGAACTCAGCTGAAAAGTACATGAAGTACCAGAGAATATGGGCGGATTTAAACGATTGCAAACAAACTACTTTGTTTTGGTGGAGCGGTTTTGTGAATATAACAGGGGTCGCGCGCAGGACGCAGCTGGAGTGTTTGAGCCATTACCGCTGCGTCCTCTCTGCTCATAGAATGCCCGCAAAGCTGAGTCCATAAATAACGTAATAAATGTAGATACTGGATCTTTTTTCAGGCTTCCCGCAATTTGAATTTTTAGGAAACCCACATCTTGATTCTGGGTTCAAAAATGCATTATAATTACCACGTTACTGACAATTGTACCGAGTAAATATCACCATTTTCTTTCCCTGTAATGCCTTACATTACCACATTACAGCAAAAAGCAATGCATTACAGTAATTAATTACTTTTGTATGGCGTTACGCCCAACACTGTCAACGAATGGCTGTCATCCACTTGTGATAAGGGGAGCACCCCATATTTTGACCAGTTCAACTTGTTCTGTGATCACAAGCACTTTTTTCAGCCTGATGGAATTTGTTTGAATAAATCTGGAGTTAAACTTTTCACCTCAAACCTAGCACACATGCTCCATGTTTCTACTTCCCCCAACAGGCAAAGGCATGAGAAACACATTCAACAGTCAGCACCATCTTCCTACTCTCATGAACTGCCACGTCACACCAGCAAAGCTACATCTGCTGATAATACACTGAATGTTCCCAAACATGAAGATAACTAACAGCCTCACAGCTCTACTCCCTCCTCCCCCCTCTGCTTGCCGGGGCCACCATGAGTCCTTATCCATCTGTGAGACGAGTCAGATTTCCACCTCCCTATCCACCTAATCTCATTAAATCAACTAACACAACTAGACCCAGTACACAGCCACACAGCAACAACCTGGCCAGAATGCCAACGTTCACCCTAAAACACTGAATGACATAGTAAAGACCCTAAATTCATCTACCTGCTGTCTGGACAGCCTGCCTACAAAACTTCTTTAAAATGTTTTTAGTTGCCTAAAAGCTGAGGTACTGGAAACTGTTAACTGATCTTTAACATCAGGGGCCTCATTTATCAAGCTTGCTTACGCACAAAACGGGGTCGGAAAACTGCGTAAGCAACTTTCCATGCAAACTTTGGGATTTATGAAAACCTAGAGAAAAAATGTGTGCAACTTTAAGTTGACTAAAGACCTGGTTTACACAAATGTTGGACATGGAGAGCACCTGCAGTGCTGCTGCTGAGAAGATACAATTATGAAATCCTGCAACATTATAACTTGTACCGCTTCGTTTTCACACAGAACAAGACCCCCCCCCCCCCCCCCCCCCACACACACACACACACACAGCCTGAAGCGCAGAATACAAAATGCAGATTATCAGCAGGGGGACAGATTGAGACAGAATGTCATGCGTCTGTGACAGTGTGTGTGTCCTGTCATTGTGACCCGACTGATCATGCGCCCTGGTTACTTGTACAAGGGAGATCTCTGTTTGCCTGTCTGGTTAGCGCACGTGACTTTCACCCAGGAGTTTGGGGATCGAATCCCGATTGGACCATTTTTTTTATATCCGCCACAGATCTCTCTGAAGAATTCACAACATTGACGGCTTCAGCAATGCTGTGCCACTCCATGGATTTTCTCTTATTTGTTTAGCAAAAGTACTTCCTTTTATTTCTCCACCTCACCCACAGGTACCTCAATATATTCTTCTGTGAAATTGTGCTTCCTTGATCTGCCTTGATCTACGGTCGCCATGTCATTGGCGGAGTTCTGCAACAAGCCGGCTTATGTATATGCATGAGATCCACAAGGCACTTTGCATTGACTATTTATGGCAGTAAGTGGGCGTGGTGAGGGCGGGATGTGACTAAAATGCAGCTGAGAAACATTCTCGTTAGTCTCCGATTTATGAAGCGGAGATTGAGTGCAGCTGTGCGTACTCCATGTTTGATAGATCACAAAACTACTTGTCGTACGTACATTTTTTTGATGAGCTTAAGTACGGTTTTAGTAAGGATTCTACGCAATGTTTGACAAATGAGACCCCAGGTCTTTTCCCTAAACCACTGAAAACTGCTGCTGTTTCTAAAGAAGAGGAAACTAAATCCTCAGTGTTGAACACCTACCGACCGATCTCTAATCTCCCTCTGATGGAACAATCATTGAAAAACAGTAATGATCCAAATAGACAACTGTTTAGAGTCAAATAACATTATGGACGGTCTTCAGTCAGGCTTTAGACAGCACCACAGCACTGAGACTGCACTGATCAAGGTAATAAACGACATTCGTCTCAACACTGATTCAGGTAAAGCATCTGTCCTGATGATGCTTGATCTCAGTGCACCTTTTGATACTGTGGACCACAACATCCTTCTGGACAGACTCACAAACTGGGTGGGACTATCAGACACAGTGCTTGGCTGGTTCCAGTTCTATCTCAAAGACCGGTTCTATGTTGTCTCTATTAGGGACTACCAATCAAAGCGGATCACCATGACATGTGGGGTCCCCCAAGGACTCAGACCACTACTCTAGAACTCTACTCTACTCTAGAACCACTACTCTTTCATCTCTATATGCTCTCCCAGGGTCAGGTCATACTTAATAACATCATAGCTATGCTGATGACACCCAGATCTACCTAGCCCTATCACCTAGTGACTGTCGTCCACTGGACTCACTCTGTCAGTGCCTAGAGCAAGTAAACGACTGGATGCAGTCAAACTTCCTTCAGCTAAACAAAGATAAGACTAAAGTTATTGTCTTTGGCAACAAGAAGGATAGAATGGATGTTATTGCTCAGCTAGACTCCAGGGGAATAAAGACAAAGACCAAGGTTAGAAATCTTGGTGTTATTACTGAAGACCTGAGCTTATCTGGACATATTAAGGCTATAACTAAATCAGCATTTTATAAAGAGTCAGAGGTCTCATGTCCAGACCAGACTAGAGAAACTAGTTGGCTGGACTTCTGCAATGGTCTCCTAACTGGTCTTCCCAAAAAAGCTGTGAAGCAACTGCAGCTTGTTCAGAATGCTGCTGTTAGAGTTAACAAGAACTAAAACCCTTTTCAGATTGACATTCTGGAATATGTGTGGACAATTCAGTCTGGGTTTTAACCAGAACTGTGTTTTCAGACACACCACTTTTGTACCGGAACTTGTCCTTTCGGCTGCCTTCACACACCAGGGAAAAGTTCCAGATGTCTGAGGGGGAGGGGGTGGGAAGGCTGTACCCAGATATTGTGTGGTGCGGCAGGCGTACATGCGTCATCTACCCAAACAAAGCCATTCAGTCAAGCATTGCAGACGAAGAGATAGAATTCTTCTCACTGATCGGACTTATGTTAAGCATAATTCTGCGCACACGAAGACGCAAAAGAGACCTGGATGACGAAGCTCAATGGTTAAAGGAATCACGGAAGCAGTGTGAAGCGCTCCGTCGCGCGTCCAGACGGTACCGTAGGAGGCGAGCTGCCATGGTTCGCCGCATGCTACAGGAGCGAGCTATCTAGGTGCGCACAGCGTTACCCCGGTCCCCCCCTCCTCCCTGTCCGGAACTCGACCTCACCAGTCTGAAGCAGCCACCTTGTCCGTGACAAGTCTGGACCTGTTACCAGGGGCGTGGTCCGGTTTAATTACGGAAAACGTTATCCAGATGTTTGTATTCAGACACAAGGGTCTTACGGACAGAGTCCTGAACATTTCCATTTTTCATGGCCTGTCTGAAGGGGGCTTAAGAGAACGGAGCACATCACTCCTGTTCTTAGATCCCTACACTGGTTACCAGTAAACTACAGTATAGGCTTCAAAGTGCTACGACTAGTTTATAAACCACTCAGTGGCAAGGGGCCAAGATACATGTCCAGTCTCGTTCCTGTAAATAAACAC